ATGCTGCCAAGATTCCCAGACACGCCGAGCGAGCTGCTTCTTGATCAGCTCCTTGGCTGGCCTTGCAGAATCCTCCTGATTTAGACGACACCACACCATGTGCCAGGGAGACAGGAAGTTCGGAAGAGCGCGAGCTCGAAATCGAACTTACCGTGGCTCACTCGCACAAAGTCAGCAACTCGGCACAACTCCGAGCCAAACAGTCCTTTGGAATCTGGCTGGAATTGGCCTTGCGCCACTCCTGCAGGAAATTACCGGGCTCGGCTCATCGACACGGCTGTCAGCGCTTGAAATGAGCTTTTGGCCCTGCACCTCGAAGACAGGGTTGTGGTTCATACCGACGAGCGAGCTGTGCATCATTCCAACACCTGAGCACAGCCAAGCAGCAGAGCCTTCCAAAATCTTCCACTCAGATTCTCAGACAATCAAGCTTCGCGGCTTAGCAGTTTGCTTCGACGCTACCGCTTCGCCAAGATGCGGTACTTCCTGTCCTTCTTCCACTGCTCGTTGGCGATGTGCGTGACCTCAAGCCGGTTCCAGCTTCGGCTGCATTACTGTGCGTACATTGCTTGTCAGTCCTGTCCCTCTGATGATACGCCGATGCGCCTCTACATCAAGCATATTTATCCAAAAAATTGCTGTCCAAGCACCTGGGCTTGGTCCTCAGCACTGACCCAAACGCCCTCGTCGGTCTGCAGGAAGCCCCCCGAGCCAGGTTTCAGGGTGCGTGACAGCCGCACAGCGCGTGCGACTTGCTCGCCATCGAGCACCTTCCATGCTCCAGCAAACGTCTCTGAAGGTTATCAGCTGGTGTCCGTTCAATCCGAGTTCAGGTCGTTGTCGCCCCGGCAACAATCGATGTGCTGGTCAAGCTGAAATGTGCTGAGATTCCAACTATCTCGACCATGCCTGAACTCCAGGGAAGCTCCTGTGCGCGGCAAGGTTAAGCAAGTATAGCCATAGCTCGGAGCAAAGGAAACCAGCTCCGCGCACCAGCTCCAGGTCGGAGAGAGTGAAGACCCAACGGGAGCCCAGATAATGCTCCGTGCTGGGGAGGTAGTCCCGGTCTCCTCATCACGACCCATGCCGCAGTGCCTTTGCCTTTGCACCCCCTGAAAGAACCTAGGACCTGGTGGACCTAGTGGCTCTAGCAGCTGTGCAGGCAGCCATGGCTCCTCGGATGTTGCCCCCATCGAAGAGCACGCAGTCGACCTGCATCTCGTCCCGAAGCGCGCTGCAGAGGAAAGAGCCTAAGGTCGTCCTCGGCGCACAAGTCGAAACCGCTCTATCTCCGAAGATGAAGCAGAGGCTCCGCTGGGACTCCGGCTGATGTTTTCGGATGTTTTTGGAGGACATGACGGGCTGCTCCGGGAAAACACTGAGGTGAACCCGCGCCTGGCTATGAGCAACTCAATCACAACATCACCTTTTCTCGAAGTGCTGTGATTCCGTTGTGGCGATTGTTCAAAATCGATACGGTCATGATTTCTATGTGGAGCGGCTGCACTCCCACAGTGCAGCTGAGCATTTAATGCACAGGCATGCAATGCCGCGCAGCTACGCGAAGACGTACACCGAATATTCACCTTGCATTTGCATGTTTATCAGGCCGCTCGCTTAGCTTCATTTGACCATGCTTCACTCGCCAAATTAGCGGCCGTTTCTGGATGGCGAGATTTTGGTGCATCTGGCAGCCGACAGCTTTCGGGCTACACATGATGTTGTCCTCTTTGACGCCTTTGACGACTACAGTACCTCCTCGAATGGCCACGTTCCTACTTCCCCACCGCTATTGGCACCCACTCGGCCCTGCCATCCTCATCCGCGTGAAGAGAAGGCAACCAAGAGAGCGGTGAGGCCTTCAACTGCTCCAGATTCCAGAGCTTCCTCATGTGCTTCTGGACAGATTTACTCACCTAAGCTCTGCTGCTCCACAATCCCACGACAGAAAGTCTAGGACGACACTTGCAGAGCCAATTGCTCGACATGCTGTAGTTTGGGAAGTGGTAAAACTTCACAAAACAGTCAGGGCGCAGCCCTGCTTGTAGCAAAGCTGGCCAAGGGAATGAGATCGTAAAAGTCGATCGTCGGAACATCCTGGCACTGCTCTGCTCCACAGACATGCCAAGACTTCGGCGGCGCTGTTACAATGGACTACGTTTGCAGATGCCTCCACCGCCTGCACCTGCTGTCAACCTGCTGTCTCTTGCCTTTCACCATTTCTGCACCTTCAACTCGCACTGCTGTGGTGGCCTTGTCTCCCTGCCATAGCAGGTCTACCACGCCAACACGCTGAGCATCCATTCCTCGTGCTGGCGACAGCAAAAACACAAACGAGGCCGAATCTTCTGCTGCCAAAGGAGCCGGTCTTCAGAAGGACGCAACCATTGTGCTGGTCCAGGTACTCGGTGTGGTCATGCCCTCCCAATACCTCACGAGGGAAATGCTTCCTAACGCATTGGGACATCCAACGTGGCCAAAGGGCTGCATGGATACCGTTTGACCGAGCCATCGCTGCAAGCCTTGCGATAAGAGACTGCAACTGCGTCAGGCCTACGTCAACACGGCAAACGGGACATGCAGCCCACAACGGCACAGTGCTGAACTCCAGCAGACTCCAAGCGGCTCGATGTCCACAGCTAGGTCCTGGTGGGTCAGTGCCTGAGCTTGTAGCCAGCCGTAGCCACCAGTGCTGGAACGCCGCGAGCACAAGCGTAGCACAGCGGCATCCTGCTGCAATGCTGTTCATCCTAGGTGCCACCACCGCATCCACTTTCTGTGCATCTGGATCAAGCTTGTGCAGATCCATCCTGACGCAACGGTCGATGCAGATGGGATGCCTTAACTTCAGCATGGGTGGAAAACTGCTTGGCCGAGTTTCAGCTCTTTGGCTGTATCGCGGATGCACTCATTGCAGTCCAAAGCGGTGCTAATGGCACCACCGAAGTCTGCATCGTCCTGAGCTGAGCTTCGCCACGTCTGGCGCTCAGAAGCCGGTCTGAGTAGCTGAGGGAAGGGCTGTGTAAAGGCTCGGATCCTTTGTGCAGACACCCAGCAGGCAAAGCTGCCGTGAACTGTCCCCATCCTGGAATGCCACGAAGGAAACGAACACGAGACTTCGCTGTGTCTGGCCTTTGACAAACCCACGACGCTGGCATACGTGGGCAAGCCGAGCCTTTGCTCAGTGGTTTGGAGTTCAGAAGTCTTGCGCATCAAGCACTCTACAACCTGGATGTCGACAGGGAGCTCAGGCAGCAAGTCCGGCATGTTACTGTTGATCCAAATCCCTCCTCCTCAGAACAACAGGTAACGAGGCGCAACAACACCGATGACGAATCGTGCACTCGTGCACCACCAACTTAGATCCATGCGTTCGCGCCATCTTTCTAGCCGCTGTTTCAGCGATCGGAGGTCAACGTCTGCCTCGTGGTTTCCGAAGCATGCCTGCACGGCAACACATTAGGAGTCCACAACGCTCCAACGCGCACAAGTCTTCTAGCTGCATAGCATGGCTTTGCAGCTCAGCTTCATATTGCACGCCACTCTCCAGCATCACCTCCTAGGCGAGCACAGCTGGAAGCCGCCGGAAGAGCACTCCGCTAGAAGCTGATGACTCCCTTGCCACTGAGGTTCTACCATTCCTCGGCCTTTGTCCAGCGTGCTCAGAGGATATGGTGAAAGAAGATCACCTCCAACGCAAACGACCAGGTTCTCACGTCGTATACCACTGCAGCAGTCCTTACTTTGGTGCGAGCTCCAGGACACAAGAGGAAAGAAGAAATTGCGCAGCAGTTGCCGCAGCTGATTAGTGCAGTCTTGCTTCGTCCAAGAACTTCCGCAAGCGTGGCCTCGGGAAACGGTCAGAGCGGCCGTGAGCAGAAGATCCCAACTCTTGTGTCTGCGCATAGACAAACGTCACACCAGCTGCCGAGGTGCAAATTGTCCATGATATACACATCATTGATGTGGACTAAACGGATGCGCACTGCATCCTCGTCATCTTCTTCCTTCGTTGCCGAATCGCCAAAGCACAGACAGATGCCTTCGATGCTCTGACTGTGGCCGGAGCACCGCCTTTGCGCGAAGTGTCCAGATGGCCTCTTCCTCCGAGCCCCAAGCGGCATTCTCAACGACGCAGACATGTGCAGACTCTCGAAGACACTGAGATCCTGCCCCGCCTCTACTCTACAATCGTACCCTAACTCTGCATTACACTACACCTCCCTGGTCAAAGAAATCCGCACGACTCGCGACCGCTTTCCAAGCAGTGACTTTTCGCGTCCTCGGTTCGCGGAGCCGCTTGCCGTGCCGAAACTTTCTGCGACCGGCTCTGCCTCTGCCACGAGAAGCAAGAGAAGAGAGACAGAGACAGAGAGAGAGACAGAGACTGAGAGAGGACAAGTTTGCAGAATGCAACATAGCGGCATGTCCTAGTGAGGTGATTCAATTCTGCATCTCGATGCAACGTTACGCATCTACACTACTTATAAGTCTGTATTCTTCTTTCTATGCACGTACGTACGTACGCGAGTAAGCCGCAATTACTTGCATGCATGTACATCATAAAATATAGAAGCCGGTCCAACTTATGGCAGCTCTCATCTCTGCGTGCCTCCCCAGCCAGAAACCCACAGCCCCAGCGCCAAGTGCGACGGCGGCGGTAAGTACCATGGCGGTAACGAAGAGGCCAAGAGAGTGGAAGCACAAAGCTGGAGAAGATGCTGAGGCCATGGTTGGCGAACGTAAAGCTGTAGAGTCTACCATGGAGTCTATTCAGGGTCTAGTCGGGTTAGTGGTAGCAGCCACAACGCTAGCTGCGGATTTCGGCTGTGCATCACCGTGCATGAAACAGCATTTTTCGGGCGCGGCCTCACTGATACAGAGTCCATTTGGCTGAAGGCTTCACCGCGAGTTTAAGCTGCTTGAGCTGCAGGAGCGGAGAGGGCACTGGAATCTGACTTCGTGAATCCACAGCCGTGCCAAGATTCAGGGGCGCCGGCAATGCAGCCTTTCAGGCTCTCCCAAGAGAGCTGCCTCGCTTCGTCGCAGGTCTCCGCCGCTCTGGCGAGTCAGCAGCAAACTGAAAGGAAACTTGGCGATTGATTTAGCTTCAGCTCTGTCCGAGCTCCCGTGTTCTAGCGAGAAGGCCTGCTTTATGGCTGCACCCAGGAGACTACGAGCTTGCAGGGCACCTTCGCAGGAAGTGCTCTGTGAGCTCAAGGGCCAGGTCGTGGCCTGCACCATGCGCCCATTCAGTGTCACGACCCTGCCTGCACAGCGGTCCTGTTGGGTTTGTGCTGACAGCGGCTAGTCAGGCTCATGGTCCCGCGAGCTCGATGCTCCTATCGCCCAACCTACCTAGTTTGAATCTTGGCTCTTGCTCCTAGCTTAGAACCGCAACTTGTGGGCCTGTCTGGGCCTTGGGTGGATGTCAGCTGATTGCGGTGTCAGTTTTCTACATGCTGTATGCTGCTTTAGGCCCGGCTGCATGGAAATGAGATGTTTCTGGTTGGTGTCAGGTTGGTGCTGGATGCGCAGCTGGTTTTGCTATGGTTGGGGTTGTGGCAAAGCAAATGCTTGTCGCAGGACATTCGACAACTGAATGTGCCACAGAAAAGTGTTCTTTGCGGTTGATGTAACCCTTTCTGCCCGTCGGTTATTAGACAAACCTCCAACTGACGGTGCATACACGGGTCAGTTGCCGATGGTTGTGGCGTCGTATGCTCTCTGCTCTTCTTCTTGCTTGCAAACGAGAGCTGTTGAGCTGAGTTCCATGCTGGTGCAATACAATCGGCACAGTCGCAGCCTCAATAGCAAAGTGAGCTGCCATCGTGCAACCCGAACTTTCTCTGCATGTTGGCTTGATGGCTCTTGGCCGGATACCACAGCTTCTGTCGCGGCAGACACGCAGAAGTTCCTCGCCACAGAGCATCCGACATCCGAGACTTGAAACAATGCAGACACCTGTGAGACGATTTCTCGCGTGAGTCTGGAGCCTCGTTGGACCAGGAGACTGCCGCCCCGAGCCGGTTCCTGCAGCTTTTCGCGCTTTGCTTCGTCTCACTAAAGGAGCACAGCAAATTGCGGGACGAGCTTGTCCTATCTTGTTGTGTTTAGTTGCACAGGGCGCACACTGAGAAATCACAAAGACAGGTTGAGAAAGCTTGGATGAGTTGCGTGGTGACGGTTCTTTCGATGCACGTCTGCCTGCTGGTTGTCCGAGGCCAGTAGATTCAGGCTCAGAATCTTCAGATTCAGCGATAACCTGAAAGAAAAGGTGCGACGGGCCACTCCTCTGGCTCTTCCGAATATTTAAATCTATGCTGATGACTGATGCCACTAGCCACTGACAAGCTGCTGGGGTGCTCGCAAACCATGCAGCAGCGGACACCAATCTCGAGAGAGACCTGTGCGCAGTGCTGCCATGTTTGGCATGAGAGTTGCAAGGCCTGGACCGGAAAGCGTTGCACTGTCCGCAATTGCCCAACGATATCATACGACCGCATGGGTTCCCGGACATCCGCAGGTGAGTGCAAGCTCATCGATGAGAAATTCTATGGATTCGATAGAAGCTAAGGAAGATGGCCCGCACCAGCATAAACGCTGACTGGGTGCAAGATGGTGCAAGATGCCAGGGGACACCCTGGTGCAAGAGCAGCACCAGCTTCAACTCATGCTGGGGGACCGGCTGCCAGCCAGTACGCCAGGTGCAAGCGACGCAACCAGCAGCCTCACTCGATTTCGACTTATTCTTGCTGAGCGGACTCAGGATGCCATCGGGCGGCATGTTCGCAAAGAGGAAGTGCTCGCAGGCCTCAGCTGACCAACGCTCGTTCCTGCCGGTGGCTTCCGTTCGTGTACCCTCGCGGAAGCGCACGGGGCGAAGGAAGGCTCCAGATTGATTGTTCGCATGCCTCTGCAGGCAGCTGCAAAGACGGTACCCTCGGAGTTTTTGAACCGTGCAGGGCACGCGTTCGCGCGCGCCTGACTCCGAGCAGGAGCGAGCTTTCCGAGGCGACCTGTTCAGGGCCCATCGAAACCCTTTCTCAGTGACTGTTTCACATGCGAAGATTGCAAATGTTCCCCGGAATTACGGTTGACGTTTTGTAGTCGTTGTTTTCCCGTTAGCATCTGGACATGGCAATTTGTAAGGCTGTCGAACAACCCGCCTCGAGAGCCTGGGACTTTTGGGCAGCCTTGTCCTGACAAGCAGCCCGCTTCTATGCCCACTACTTCCCATCCTTCAAGCAGTCTAAGTACGGCACCAGCAAGAGGGCGGCAGAGCGTGCGCATCCTTCGCAACGATGCTGCACAAAGAATTGCTCAGCCGCGCGTGATGACTGAGAGTCTGATATAATTTTTGCACCCTTGCATGTTTATGTTATGCGACATGAGTGCCAGGCTCACAGCGGCGGTGAAGTAAGCCGGTCGCACCTAGGCTCCGTTTGCCGCTTGCTGAATCAAGTGACTGTGTACCTTGACGTTCTGCGCGAATCGTGCGATCTCGATGACCGACAATGGGGCACAATTGATTTTCTTCGCTGGTATCAACTTGCGTGGCTTTCGTCTTCAGCCGCCTCACGGCTTTGCCGCTCAGCTCAGAAAGCCACTCGTCATCCTTGAACATGACACTACCAGACCCAAGCTTGCACTGAAATCAAAGGGATCACACAATTCTGTTCCACTCTCTTTTGGCATCTTCATACCAAGGCTTGGACAATTAAGCTGAGCCGCTGTGCATGATTACTTTTCAGGCCTATAATATACAATACAGATCGAGTTCCAGTTCGGTTCTGTATCTACCCAAGTGGGTCCTGCTTGCCGCAGCCATGGTAGCGAACCTTCACTTGGAGCGCATTGTCTGCAGCTTCCTCCCGCTTCAAGCGCAGTACCTTGTCAGCTTTGGGCAAGCACCGCATGCATGGCTTCTTGGCGCTGAGTCTGCTGCGGTGGCGCCGTACCAGCAGCCATCATCACACCTCAGGATGCCCATGGCCCATGGCGTTCCGAAGTGCTTAGCAGGCAAGACACATTCGTCGGTCAGATATGATGAAGGCGTCTGCGGTTAAGCACGCAGGTGGCTGGTGCTTGGCTTTGGATTGTTTCAGGCTCTTTCCTCCTCCTGTGGCTCCTGAGCCGCCAGCTTGACTCCCACCTGCAACACGCGCACTCTCGTGACTCTGCGCTGACTCCGACGATCTAGTTTAGCCTTCCTGTTCTGAGACCTCACGTTCTTTGTTGGCCGGATAGAGTCGCACAGAGCATCCGTCACATGCAAACCTGAAGCCGCTTGAAGCCCTCAACTTGCAGCCTCTCAGCCGCCAGCACCTGAAGCTGTAAACCTTCGAGTCTCAGACCCTACAACCCGAAGACGGCATGCAGCCGATGACTGATCAAAGGACATTCGTGCCGGTCTCACCTGAACAAAACCGTCAAAGGCTCGGGTTCTAGATTCGCAGAAGCATCGTGAGCAGTCCAACCAGCCGGAGTCCGTCGAAGAAAGCTTCAAGACCAAACCGGTAAGACTCATGGATATGAGCAATGCTGGCCCATGACACAGTAGAAACCGACCCGCCTCGGTGCCTTTTTCCAAGGCTGCAAAGCAAGCTTTCCGTTTTGCACCTCTCACACCTTGCTTCGGAATAGTGCGAGGCGGGAAAGGTGATCAAGACTCACTGCACCACGGGCAATCACAAAGGAAAGGTCTCATCGTGAGTTGCTGCTGCTTTTGCAGCCAAGCAGCTTTGTGCTGCCTGCCAGGAGGTTCAGAGGAGAAAACTGCTACAAAAAGTCTTAGTCCACGTAAGCCCTTTTGCTCCAAGAAGACGAAGACTCTAAGAGCCTTTTTGTGCAAAGCTTTAAAACACGCGAAGACCCTCCTCGGCTCCCTGCTGGAAGGAGGGCGGCTGCTTGGGGGCTCTGCAGGAGATTGCACGGCGGGTGTCCGACGGGACGAGGCGTCGCGGCGTGACCGCTCTCGGCTGTTTCCTAGGACACTTCTCGATTTTTCTTGTGGTCGTGTGCCAACTCCGACTACTTCAGCATCTGGTCTGGTCTAAAGGTGAACTCCATTTCAAAGGCTTCGCCAGTGTTCGTACCGCCCTTCTGGACCCGTGACACACCCTTCCAGACGTAGGTCCCGCAGAGACCCGTCCCCGTGGAAAGCGCCTTGCAGAGCCGTGCCCCCTCACACTCGCGCTTGGTGGGAAGTGACTCGCCGATCCAAACCTCAGACTGATTGTCCCCATTGACGGCCACGAACTGAGACATGCCACGCCAAATATAGGTGGCGTCAATGCCACAAGTATTTCGTGGCATCTTGGCCTTCTTGTAGAGAGGAGCATCTTCGACCTTTTTGGGCAAGCGCACAATAGCGTCATGATCATGCTCCTGGAAAACGAGCTGTTTGATCATGCTGGGGGGTATTGCGCCCTGAGAGCTCACCGTATCGCTTCCCACAAGGGCCCTCCTGCGAGTCGATCGGACAGCTTCATCGGCCCAGGGCGGGTCTTCATATCGATTGAGGGGCACGGTAGCATACAAAGAGGACCATGGACCAATGGTCACAACTTCTGGAAGAGGACCTCTGGTCAGTTGTGTCTTTTCCCAACCAGGCACTATGCGTATGAGCGAGAGAAACGGCCTGACCATCGGCACCAACTCGTTGGCAAACAAGTATCTCTGATACAGAGTCTCCGTATGACGACCATAGCTCCGGTCAGTGCCAGGTACTCCAGGATAATGAATGGTCTTGTCCAACAGTTCATCGTGAAGATCTCCATTGTCATACACATGACCGCTCCAATGGTCGAAGTTGAAGTTCACCAGGGAGTAGCGCCAGTCCTTCCAACCCTCAATCATCTTGGTCTTGATCTCCTCGGTGTAGTTCTTGTGCTCTTTTTTCATCTGCTTCACCATGCGATCACTCTCTTTTGATGTTCCCTGCCATGGGTGCGGCCATGTGTCCTTCAGCAGGGTTATATTGTAAAGCTGCCGGCTCAAGGACATGCACAGGGTCACCGCAGCAATGTAAGTCGGAAGTCCTTGTCCTCGTGAGGTGTTGTGGGGGAGCGTGGAGCCACCGACCAGGATCATGTTGCGAGCTGTATTGGCACTAGACCATGCCATCCGCAAGGTTGATTCTGCCGTTAACCAAGCGTCGTGAGGAAAGATAGGTGGACGCCGGAAGAGGCGAGAAGTAAAGTTCTTCGCCTCTTCGACTGCTGCCAGCAGCTTTGCAGATGCCGGCTCGTAAAATTTCCTGAGGGTCTCTTCGGCACTGTTCAGATGCACTCGTGCTAGGTCACGCACCAAGTCTGCTTCTTTCTGGCCGACATAGTTCACCGTCCATTGCCGCACGAGCTTTAACAGGATGCCCTCCTTCTTGGTTCCAGGTGGCGGAAAAAAGATCGATATGAACATGCTGGCAAACTCACCCGCAAGTCCACCCACCGCCAATTCCGCAAGCTTGGCAGTAACGGACTTGATACCTAGAGCATAAACCTGCTGCTCGTACGACTTCAACCAGCGATCATCCCAGTTGAAAGCATCCATGTCCGCAGTCTTTGCCGCGGCATTCAACGTGAGAACGCATGACGAGTCGTCGGCAGAGACATGCGCAAGCAAGAATAGGATCCAGCGAAGCATGCTGCGAAAGAAGCTCAAAGTGCCGACAAACTGCGGGGTGTTATGGATATCTGTTACGGTGCGCTCACTCAAACATTCGGTTCCGAACTATACCGTTGTGTCAAGCTACCTGAAAGGCATATAACAGAAGACCCGGCGTGTCACAGGACTGCCTGCTGGTCAGCCGATGCAGTAGCCGATGGGCCCGCGGGCGGCTGTGCCGAGGCAAGAGCCGCAGGTGCCGGTGGGCCGCAGGTGGCTTCAATCTGACACAAGACTCACTGCTTGACATGAGCACCCGAGCCTGGCAGCACTGCCACATACTGCGCCCAATGCAGGTTCAGACCCATTATGTGCAGGCCAAGGGCAGACTGCCGCAAAACCAGACTGACCCGCGTGCGAAAGCCTTGGTATAGGTTGCCGCTGTACGAGAGACTGAAATTTACAGAAATTGACATGCTTCTCGTGCGGCAAGCTGCGCCACAGTAGCTCCCTCGCTCTACATTGCAGCTCGTCACTGACCACATCCTCCCAGAAGGCCTGGCACACAGCCAAGAATACTTCGAACATTGGCAAGAGATGACACGAGCTTGCCTGCTGAGTGTTCTCAGGCAAACAGAGCCGCTGCCTGGCGGTCAGCCGCCCGGCTCACAGCAAGATTTGCACGACTGACTGCATGTTTGGCCTGTATGCCTCTCTCTCAGACTCATTCTCCAAGAAGTGCACCTTTTTCAGCAACATGTATCAACCAATGTCCAGCTATGGTAGCTCCATTCAACAATCCCGCTGATTTATCGAATGCTAGCGACTGAGGCACAAGCAAGCTCCAGCTGCCGCTGCAGGAAGCTGAGAGCCCCTCCCGCCGAGGTCCACTCCCGCGTGAAGCTTGCTTTGTCTGGCAGCACAGAGTGATCTTTGCGACAAGCATCGACAATTAACATGTCTTGCGGCCTCCATGCGAGAGCAGGCTGCGAACCCGACCTGCTGCTTTCCCGAAGTTGCCCTCCTCCGCACCACAGGGTGCAAAGCAGAAAGATCCCTTTCCAGTTATGGGTTCGATATCGCAGGCAATCCCTTGCGAACCGCTTATCCGGAAAGCTAGGTGCTGGCCCATGCGATCCTCCAGCTTTGCGATTGCGCGCCGCAGCTTCTCCGCCTGACAAGTCGAGCAATCTGCAATCGTATCAAGAACACTGGTTGGTTACCGGTGCGGTCGACTGGATGGCTTGTAACTGGTGCCGTCGACTGGAGGAAGAAGCACAGGTCTCGGCCGTGTTGATTTGGTCACTTCACCCCTCGTGCATATCGAATTGCAACCTTGACAAGTAACCTGACTATCCTCAGGTGCTTGTCTTCTTCTCTTCTCTCTCAGGCTGTTGATCTCGCCTTCTTGACGAAAGGCGCACCGGCTTGGAGCGTGAAATCCACGGGCACGGCCCAGCCTCGCTGGCTTTCGACCGTGTAGACTCCTGCTTCACAAACGGAGAACCGCGGGGCAGGGGGGGATGTGTTCGGGCATGGCTGAAGCGCCATCAGAAAACTGCGGCCCGAATCACAAAATGCATGTCTCAACTTGAAAGGGCAAGATATAGAAACACAAGGCGGCAAGTGTAAGAGTCAAGGTCGTATATACTGATATAGCCTCAATGTCGTCATCATCTCCGGAGAGAGGCTTTCGGCTGACTACAGGGGGCTGAATGGATTTAGGGTTTAGGGTGGCCCATAACTCCATAGCCATACTACCAGTAAAGGCATGTTAGTCGCCTTTCAAAGGAAGGGGTCTTGATTCGGGCTGTTAGCCGTTAGCCCTACAATTCCACGCCTGTCAAAATCACGACGTCAACGCCTTTGGCGACGCCGGACAGCACCTTCCGGAAGCACAGGGCTTCGTTTTGCCAAGAGGCAGAAGCAAAGCAGGACTCGGTGCACACGGAGTGCAGCCTTCCGAAACAGAGCCCGAAGCCTCGGCGAGCTTCTGGAACCGGCCATTGAAAACCTCCGTGCCCTGGAAGAGCACCTGCAAGGAGCAGCCCAGTCAAATGCATCGCAAACTTGTGCAGCCAAGGCCAGGGCCTTCGCATGAATTATCCGCGGTTTTCCACAGAGGCTTTTCACCATCTGGGCGGTCAGCGTGTCATGGGCCAATACAAAAAACACACATTTCGAAGTGCTGATCTGAGCCGAGTAAAGATGACCAAACGACGGCTCAACTTCTCTCGGCTCCCCGCCGTGTAAAGTTTGCGAACATCTTCTGGCGCAATTTGTTTGGAAGCTTCGGATTTCCTCCGCTGGTCTTCGATCTTGCTTGGCCGTACAATCGCTTTATACCTTTGCCGCGGCACTTCTGCAAAAAAATCAGGTCGGCATCCACGAGATATTCTACCTCAGCCGCAGCGCCAGCGCTCCACACACAAACATGAATCAGAAATTCATTCCAGATTGGAGGTCTGTGGTGCATCCAGGACTTTTCAAGTATGCCGAAAGCTACCAGCATGAAGTCACAAAAGACTCCGTCACGTTCCGTCCTTTACCCATCAGCCGAGAAACATTTTCTGGCAGGCGTCGGCGCAAAAAAGTATATCCGGGCCAATGTTGTTCATGCTCTGCGCCCAAGGACCTTGCCCGCGTCTCCAAAAATCTACCGATGCCCGAGAATGCACACGAGGCGCGCCGTCTCTGCAGCAGATCACTGCAAGCACGTGATAGTTCGGGCGAGAAACTGCAGCTGCATCCAGACTTTCTCCCTGCTGGGGTATTGAATTGCCTCCACTCAGGCAGGAAAGGCCGGCGACCGTGCTCGCTGCCGACGGCCCGGCAGCCTTCAGGATGTCCTCCAAGCTCGTGGAGCTCATCAGTGTGAGAGGCCCAGGCCCAGGTCACACGGTCCGGCGGTCCGGTGAGGTGATTCGCGATGTCTCATGACGACGAGTCACGCAGTTTCATGTAAATCTTTTTGTCGTTCTTTCTGGCCAGCTCGTGTTGTTGTGCCTCGGGTTGCTGGTTTATAGATGTTTATAGCCTGCCTAATCTGTGCCCCTACGCTGTGGAAGCTTGCGAGAGTTTTCAACGGAGTGCAGCGGCGGTAGCGGTGCGAAATCAACTGGAAAAGCATGCTCCACCCTGCAATACCCTGCAGTCCGGAGCCCCAGTGACGGCCCTCTCTCCCAGGGCCCTGGCCATGATGTACTCCGCCTCTTCCTTCGGAAGCGGATCGGAGGGCGAACCCTGCGAACCCTTCTCTCAGCACCAGGCTAACTCAGCGAGGCTGACACAGAAGTGCGACATGATCTTCTCGAGCGCTAGGAACAGGATATCCTCTCAAGAGACGCGAAATGTCGGCCAAGACCCGTCTGCGACACTCGGAACTGTCACTTCCCGTGAGCTGCCCACGAAATCGGCCGATTTCGCCTGCAGCCTGCGACGAACACGGGGAGCAGAGACATGGCAGCCCTGCACAGGCGCGCCGAAGTGCGAAATTGGTAAAACCTGGCCTGCCGATGCAGTCGAAGATTCGATCCAGATCTTTCACCTGGCACTGGTCGGGCGAACAAAGCATGCAGTGAAGCAGAACATCCCGGCATGAAAACTGTAGTGTTTGCCGGCAGGAGCCGAGACTAAGGCGCGGCGTAGGAGGCCTTGGTCTGGTCCATCGCGAGAGGTGAAGGCAGGGCTGCTGACTTGGCGATGGACCTCAGGGTCTTCTCCCGAGATGTACCCAAAGACCACAGCCACTCCATCCCACTCTGGCCTGGCAAGTTCGACTGCCTCCTTCTCGTTCTGCAACAGCATCATCCTGTTTAGCAGATTCTCTTGGCCAGCGACCCACCTCTCGGAGCTCGCGACTACTCTACCGGTAAAGCTGGAGGCGATCGGGGCCCGGGCTCGCGGCTTCTGTCCTGCTTGGCAGGGTGCGCCAGGAGAGCGCAATGCACGGAGTGTGGTTGCCTCGTCGTCATCCCCAATAATGTGCGACTCTGGCTGCATGCCGCTTTCCTGCACGCCCGCAGAAGCCTGCTAAAACATGAAGAAGATGACGGGCGACGGCAACAGCATGCACCCTGCAAGGCTTGGCTCCAGCTTCTCTTCGTCCAGCGATGCAGCCGAGGCCGAGCCACTCTGCCTCTCAGTCTCTGCGTGGCAATGAGCAAAAACTGCGTGCTGCGATGTGCTGCGGGCCCGACTGCGCGGCACCGAGTGCCGGCTCGGCCCGGAGCCGCCCCGCAGCAACTTGCTGCAGCCTATCGTCTCATAGATAAGACATGACTAGAGGCTCACCATGCTCACCGGCTCACCCCACAGCGCACCTCAATTGCACTCGCGAAGTCGTCAACTCCTCGCCTGAAGAGGTCACAAGTGATTTGCCCTTGGCCGTGGCATTCATTAGCGCTGTGCCAGCCCCAGAAGCAGACCAATCACATTATATCCCACCTGTTGAGCTCTGCAACTTGAGGCCATGAGCTGCACACAGTGCTCTGCAACGGAGTAGTGCCAGCTCTGTTGCGGGTCCCTGGCCGAGGCGGCATAGCTGTCGAGTTTTGGATGGCTGGACTTTAGTTTTGTCGTGGCCTGGCGCATTGATGCCGCCGTCCACAAAGCGCGGGTCAACTCGCCGCCCCTCGTCACTGACCGGACATTTCCAGTACGGTCCAAGCCTAGCAGCTACCCAGTTTTCCAGAAGCAGCCTCTGCCAAAAGTCTACTGCGCAGACTTCAGCTGCAAGTTGCTCCTGACAAGGAATCAATGTGGCTGATTAGGTCCTTCATTTGCAGGCTAGCCATATTGATACCAGATGGTGGCTGCTGGACACCTCCTCTTCAGCTGGAAGCTGCCCTCGCTGGCAGGAGCCATCGAAACCCAAGCCCTCCTGCAAAGGAACTTCCAAGGCCAGGCCAAGGCGTGATAGGTCGACTATTGAAGGCCTTATGTAGATGCATCAATGTACATGTCATATTCATTCAACTGAAGGTAAAGATCATTCCGGCCGAAACAAAAATCCTGGCCTTAAAGCCTGCCATCGGTGGGGCCTCCACCCACATGCGAAGACGCGCATGCTCAGTCTCCCTGAGGCCGAGATACCTCAGGCTCTGATTCCGAAGTTTTCATCTAATTGCCGTGTGTCTTCTGGCGGCTAGGATGACGAGAACTTATAATCCTCCTTCTCCTTCCTCTTGCTCGTTCTACGCTGCTACTGCTACTACTCCGGCTGTGCCAGTACTACTGGTGCTATTCTAGTCTTACATGCTTTACCAGAAGCAGTAGCACACGCCTTGTCCGCAGGGCAGTGCTTGTGCGCTACTGATACTACTAGTACTACTAGTACTACTAGTAGTACTAGCACTACTAGTACTACTAGTACTACTGGTATTACTAGTACTACTAGTACTACTAGTACTACTAGTACTACTAGTACCACGAGTACTACTAGTACTACTACTACTACTACTACTGCTGCTGCTGCTGCTGCTGCTACTACTTCTTCCGGACGCAGCAAGAGGCGATCTCGCTTAGCGTTCATGAAATTAAGGCAGGCTTCACGGACCTGGCGCATAGCGCACTCATCCTTCTGATGAGTCCAGCTCTTAACTCAAAAGACAAGGCAACACCTCCATGGCCCGAAGGCCCCTTCATGGAGGTGTTGGTCCCGCTCCTGCGAAAACCTAAGAGTCTTGCAAATGTGGGACGGTCGGAACTACCTGCGATGCTCGCTGCAACTAGTAGTTAACCAATCTACAGGAGGGGAGGGCGAGGACCCAATTCAGGGACTCGTGCAGAGCACATACAAGAAGGCATAGGTGTTGGGATAGTGCGTAGGGAGATCTCTATGGGCGAGGCGTTGGGCAGGCTTATTATCGTCGGTGATGAGGCAAAGATCGGTACCTTGGAACAGGATGCATCTGTAGTGTCCTGTGGTAGGCATCGGGCCTTCATGTATCACCACTGCAGCTCTGCGATATCTGGCGTACTGTTGGGCCAGAGAAAGCGGCCGTGCAGTCACCGTGAATACTGGCAACATGATTTCAGCATTCGGGATCACAGGCATACTCGATTTACCAAGGCTGCTATGATGTACCCCAAAACGGTTGACCTGCAGCAGCAAAACTGTGGGCTGCTGCACCAGCCCTTGCAAGCCACGCTGCATATGCCATGCATCGACAAGTTGCTGGAGATCGGCCATGGGGGCGTTATGTAGAGGAATGGCATCTAAGGGGGTGTCCAACCAAAGGGGCCAGGTACTACCACTTTCGCAAACTCCTATAGTCGTATCATCTTGAACATGTCGTGCTTCCCAATGGCCAGTGGCAGCTGTTGCTTGAAGCTGTGGCCCCAGAAATGTAAGATATTCGATTACATCATGCTGTCTCGTAGGCTGGTTCCAGCCAAGATTTATGTTCCTCCATGGCAAGGATTGCCAGAGTGATGCACTTTCTTAGCCTTACAGATCTGGCTCCACAGGGTGCGAATTGCCGGCCCAAGCAGGGGCTCAGCTCTCTCCAGACCTGTGGGGAGGCAGGCATTGCACCAAAGGATGGCAATTAGGGCAGCATTGGTAACAATAATTGCATGTGTTTCCAAGCACTAAGGTTCTGACATGCTTTCGGTCATCTTCTGAAGATTGGTGGCCAGTGCTGACCTGCCCATTTTGTCCGCCCTCAGCGACATAGCCATGGCCCGACATGCTCCGGAATGGCAGAGCCGTGTAAACATCTGCCATGCTTGGTCTGCCTCTCTGGTCCTCAGGCCAATCTCCAGAACCATTGGCAGAATCTCTCCCTTGAGATCCTGGGACAGACGTCTCGTGGCGTGGAAGCGGATCACGGTCATCGGGAGGATGATGAGGCCCTTGAGGTCCTTGAGGCATTCCATGACCTCCTCCAGTTCCATTGGCTCCCGGTCGGGCTTTATCTCCATCATCTTTTCCTGGGCATTGTACTGGAGGTAGGGGGACGAAAGGAGGCCCTGAGTCTGGCAAAACATGACAAAGCCAGTTTCCGTCCGGGCTACGCTCTGCGCGTCTTCGTGCCTCAACACTAGCCGCGACATCATCAGGCATAGGTCCCGGATTTCCGACGGCTCGCGGGACTGGGGGCTCCAGTGGCCTCCCCAGTTGCCTTGGTTTCCCCAGCCATTCCCAGATCGTCCGTGGCTGCCCTTCTCGTGCTCGCGGCGCGCCCATTTGTTCGGCCCCTTTCCCGAGCCGTTGCCTTTGGAGGACTCTTCCTCCGCCGAGCCGCGTTTCCCATCCCCCTGCGCAGTGTCCATAGGCGTCAGGGAGCCGGTGCTTGCAAGGCTGCCGTGCCCAGAGTCTGCGGTCCTTCCCCGCTGGCAGCGGAGTTGTTCAGCATCGTCTTGAACATGTCCGCCTGGCCTTGGCCTGGAGGAGCTCCGCTTGCGCTGCATCGGTCATCATGGGAAGCAGTCGAGGGCGCTGTTGGGGCCTGTCGTGCAGTCAAGAGTGCAATGATTCCGGTGCGAGTGAGCGTGACACATGAGGAGGTATGTCTTTGCCGGCTGGCATGTTGTGCCTTGAAGTCAACGTTGCACCAGGGGCAAGGTGAGTGCACGGTGGCCCGTCTGTCACTGAGCCAGCTAGGCAATGCATCCAAGATAGGTTTAAGGGCGGCATGCTGGGAAGCAATGTGCCTGGTAAGATACTGGGGTCGGGTAAGCCATTGGGCACAGAACATGCATGTGTGCAGGTCAGATCTGCGGAGAAGCGCTGCAAGAGCTTGCCAACCGGACTGGGACAAGAGCTGAGTTTGTTCCGGGTCTAGGCAACGGCTCAGTTCTGTCAGAGCATCCGATTCAGGCTCAGGTGCAGTCTCCCTAGTTGGCAAGTCTGTAGGTGCCGCAACGGGCAGTACCATTGCCGTAGCCTCATCAATGTTGGTTCGGGCTTCCTCCGTGCTCTCAAACTGCGGTCTGTGCAGGACAGGACATCTGGATTGCGCAAAATGTTGGCAAAACGACGGCCATGACGTAAATTGCCAGGAGCAGTGAGAGCACGTAGGTACACCTCCAACCGCGTGCTTCATGTATTCTGCACGCATACTCTGCTGGGTGCGCTTTCGGGCTCCAAGGTTTTTGGCTAGGGTACTGGGTTTGTGCTTGTTGGCGATGTGGAGTTTGAGGGATTTGATGTTCGGGAAGTAAAGGCCGCAGGTCTTACAAGCTAACTGCTGTATCGTAGGAGAAACCTCAACTAATACTCCTCGTTTCAGATCCCGATAGTTAGGCTGGCTGACATCCACCGACGCGGGCGCTTGCCTCAGACTGTCTGCATGCGCAAGTAGCAGATCCCAGCGCAAGTGCACACGTGTAGGCTGGAGCGATTGCATGTGGCTTTGCTTACACTTCTCAACTCTACTCTGTATGCGCGCCGCAATGTCTTGCGATGGCGGAATGTACCCCAGTCTCGCAAGGAGAGCTACCGAAGACTCTCTAGAGAGGTGAACAGGGCTCTTCAGGATAACCCGAAGTTGCTTAGCCACATGCTGTAAAAGCTTCTCTGCTCCTCCCAACGGCAGGCCTGTGCAGTCTAGGCCATACATGAGGGCCGCGTAGGCGCAGCTGTGCCATACGCGAAGCTTCTGCTGCTATGTTAGGCTGCTGCTCTTCAGGGCTGGCAGAAGTCGATTGAATGTGCTCCAAGACTGCTTAAACCTATGTTTGAGGCTGAGTTGTTCAGGGGCAGAGTAGCTAAGCTGAAGCCCTAAGTATGTGTGCTGTTTCACGATTGGCAGCAGAACGTGCTCAGCGCCCACCGGGACATACATAAAGTGTCCTTTGCCTGGAACGTGTCTGATATGACGCTTGAGGGCACTGGCTGCTTTGGTACCTTTTACACTGGCTACGATGACCGTTTTATCAACACTGATCTTCATACCAAATTTGGCAAGGGTGGTGAGGACAAAAGATATCTTTTCAACGGCAGTGTCAAGATCCGAAACCTGGTTTATAAACCATTGAAATAGCCAGTCATCCGCGTAAGCTGTCACATCCTCCTTGCCAAGTTGACTTAGCAGTTCGCTACGGACAAGGCCCGTAAAGAGACTCCATAATGCGGGCGATAGCCCGCATCCTTGCCTGATGCCATTTTCTGTCGTGACGGTGGTCTGGTGGTGACCAATTTTGAATTGCATCTGGGCATGGCGGTGGATTTGGAGTATCGCCCACCGGAGCTCAGCACTAACTCCGGCTGCTTGCAAAGCCTGATCCAGGAGTCCTCTGGGCATGAAGTCGACAGCTTTCTGCAGATCTACCGATAAGGTTATGGCTCCTCTGCAAGGTGCAGTCTGGTGCCCTTGTTTGCGAAGGTGTGGGTTGTTCTGCTGGGCACGCAATATGGCTCTGGCATGATGACAGTGAGTCATTGCACGATCCAGTGCATCCTGAGCACTTCTGGCTGGCAGGTAAGCGAACTGTGGCATGCCTTGCATATAGCTGGTGACCGCCGGCTCTATATGTTCTTTCAGGATGCTTGCCAGAGCTTTGGCCACAGGATGCAAGAGGGAAATGCGTCTTAGAGATGATGGGGCCGGGGGTTTCCCAGGCTTAAGCATCAAGAAGATTTCAGCTATATGCCATGACTCTGGCGGTGGGCCGGTCATGTGCCTAAGCCAATGATTAAGTTCAGGCAGGGTTTTGTCAGCAAGGCATGCTGCGGCGGATTTCCACAAGATCGCGGGCGCCTGTGCCGACGGGAGTGCTTTGTTCGCCGGCAGGCTGGCAAAAGCATTGGCTAGCTCGAACCATTCTATCTGCAACGGTGTTGTTGGTGGCACGGCTAGGCTGGAGCTTGTGTCTGCAGCCTGATGGTGTGTGTGGTAGAGATCGTGAAAGAATTGGTGGATGTGAGAAAGGGTGTCCGTGGTGCTAAGTGGACAGCCATTGGAGGCTTTGAGTTGGAGTCGACGGTGTGGGGTTTTAGGTGCAATGGATCTGAGCAAGCGAAACACGGAAGTCAAACTCTGCGGCTGGGCCGCCGCATCTGCCAGGAGTTTATTGATTTTGTCCCGCTTGCGATACCTACATCGTTTTCTCAGCGTATTCTGAATTTGTTGCAGTTTAAACGACTCCTTCCACAGCCTGAACAGCTTGGAGAGCCCAAATCTACTACCTCTGAGACCCTGGGGCGGATGCGGCAGGGACCTCACCGGCGCACGTTGTTGCCACAAGGAGGCAACAGTATACGAGGCGGGCTCCAGTGTTGCAACATCATTGGAATGACGCTCTGGCCTACTCGTGACTTCCCTCCAGGCAGCAGTTATGAGGGAGTGCGTAGGAAGATTTGGGGTACTGAGATGAAGCTGCGTCAGTTGTTTTTGAAAGGCTTCAAGGATCTGGGGATCACGACCACATTGGGTTTTAACTTGCTTCTTGGTAATGCGGTGAGGGGTGGGGATGGTCCTAGGAGGTTTAGGGATGCTTATGCTGCCCACCAGAGGCCAGTGACGCATACCCGAAATCGGCACAAAAGGAGCCCGGGTGGGCGTTGTCTGACGCGCCTGCTGATCGCAGTGTGCTCTTCTACAGAGAGCAAAGTCGATTTGACTATGGCCTTTGGCTGTGGCGGGGTGATAGGTACAGGATCTAAGTCCTCGTTTGGACCAAGTATTCAGGGCAACCAGGCCAAAGTTCTTGACTAGGTCCTGCAGCATATGGGCATCCGGTGCATGATGGCAGGTATGTCTATGCACTCCTTGTCCTACAAGGTTGGTATCAGGCTGAAGACTAAAGTTAAAATCTCCCAGGATAAGGACCTGATTCCTAAGAGGTAGTCCTGCCACCAGCCGGTGCAGCTGGGCCCAGACAGTCGCCCGTCGGGAGAGCACTGCCTCTTTGCTGTGTTCGGACACTGCAGTGTTTCTTGCAATGGACCAAGCGTGCTGATACACCAACACAATGTCACAGCAAGGATCAGATTCCAGTCTGATATGTGCAAGGCGTCCCGGCAAAATATCATGCACTTTGATCGTATGTTCAGGAAATTTACGGGAGTTCCGGCTTCAGGTTTGGTGGCCCCGCTATGTACCCCAAAGACACCCGACGTCTTATACTCCATTGGACCCCTCCAGTGGGTTTCCTGGACAGCAACCAAATCAATGTGTTTCTGTTCGGGTTGGGCAAGCCAGGTGCGAAGCTCCGCATAACGATCCGTAGTGAGACTGCTGGCGTTCCAGGAAACGAAATGCAGTCTAGAGCCATCCTTCGTGGGGTTGGAAGCAGGCTTCGGTTTGGTAGGAGAGGGATTGTGTTGAACCCCAAGCTGCGAAGCACTAAACCAACGTCCTCTATACATCGATCCACCTTGCTGTATGGCTCTGCGCTGTGCTCTCATGAAAGCGCGCTTCTGTGCCGCCTTAGGCTGTGGCACTGGTTTAAAAACACCGTGAAGGTTTGTCAGACCTTGGAGTCCAGCAGGTGCTTCAGTGAGACTGGCTCCAGAGGGATCCAGGTGGGGAGAGCCCTCAACCCTCGCGTCTGTGGCCTGATGCATAGAACTGCATGGTTGGAAAAGAGTAAGAATGCACAGGATAACGAGTGCTGTAACAGTATTGCATCGGCCACCCCAGGACTTGGGACCTGGGCGACCCTCCCTATTGTAGTGGGTTCGGGCAGGGGAGTGGGTCCTAGGGTTAGAGAGCAGCGAGCATGTTTGACAGCGTACTCTACAAAGCGCGCCAAGTATATACACTATGTACACCATACCTCGACATATTTTGAAAGACGAGAACAAGAACTTTCGACCGCGTCGCCTGGAGGATCGCTTGTGCGTGAAGCCTGTACGTAGTCTCCAGCGTCTCCAGAGTCGGCGTCTGTCCTGTGAGGTGTCATCCATACCTGGGCTTCTGGGAGGAGGAGGAGGATTTCTCTGTCGGCTCTTCGGCTGTACCCATCCTGTATTGAAAAAGCCACTGTTGCATCTTTCGCCTTTGTTCATCATCCAGCAGGGGCCAGAGCAGTCGGAGCGCTGGTATGCTGAAGATGTTAAAGGCCAGATCGGTTGCTCGAGAAGCCACCATGGCGGCAGCCTCTCGACCTATCGCAGAGGCTGAGGAATACAGCTTGTTGGGCAGCTTGTTGTAGCCTATGCAGAGGCGGCAGGTGCAGGATTTCCAGGGAAAGCAGCCAATCGAGGTCGTTGTCCGGCATTGGTTCCTCCAGCATGCATCTAAGTGCAGCCACCATATGCTCCAACGATTCTCGTCTGTCGGCGCCAAGGAAGCCAACCACCGAGTCCTGGAGGTCGCGAGAGTCATCGTTTGCATGTCGTCTCCAGAAGTCTCGCAGCTGAGCTCCTGCTTGCCTTGCTGTAAGCTTAGATCGCAGCTCCTGCTCCAAATGGGCTCGGCAGAGCTGTTTGGCAAGCAGTTCCACGAATGACCGCTGCTTAAGCCCAAAGGCGGCTTCTCGCTGGATGTCCACGTCTGATTGAGGGGCTTCCGGCAGATGTGCTCCAGGCGGTTCATCATTCCCGATAGAGGCATCAGAGCCAGCCATATCCTCATCGATAGCATTGCTATCCAGATCACTCCAATCCTCCGAGGAGGAATCATCATAGGAGTCACTGGTCGTAGACCCATCGCGGCATCCACCCCGATCCGAAGACCCCAAAAAGCTGGTGGATACCACGTTCAGCGGCTGAAAAACAGGCCAGCGATGCCCATTAACCCTCAGGCCCAGTCTTCAGAAACCAGTTCGGGCCGAGACGCTTGCTGCTACTACTACTACTACTACTACTACTACTCCTAGTCTACTCCTTGTCTTACTCCTATTCCTACTACTGCTAGCGCAGCCACATGCGGCTGCCTCTCCGGCTGCCGTTACCGCTACTGCCGCTAGTACTGCAAGTGCTGCTGCACTGCTACTCCTGCTGCTTCTCCTACTCCGTCTAATTCTACCACCACCACCACCACCACCTCTGCAACTTCGACTCTACTGCGGCTTTTCCTAATGCTACGAGTGCTGCTTACTACTGTCAGCACTGTTGCTCTCTGACTCTTACTACTGCTCCTGCCGTTGCTGCTGTTGCTGCTATCTACTGCTACTGTTGGGTACTCAGACTCCTGTTACAGTTACTACGTTGGATGTGCTACTCTGCTACTGCTGCTACTCCTAATCCCACCCTGCTCCTTGCCTCTGCAACTACCACCGCCACCACTACTTCTTCTTCTTCTACTGATCTTCACCGCCCTGCTTGCCTTCAGGCTGACACAGTCAGGCTTCCACATATGTCGGGTTCGGCAACACTGGCAGCAAGACTTGAAATGCTCCACCTCTTGAACATCAGTCCGATAGAGAGAAGCATGTCTCTGGCATTCGAGGTCAGACGAGTTTAACGTCAGTTTGAGCGCGCCCCTGCTCTGATGCGGTCGCAGTTGCGGATGCCAATAGAGCCAGGCACCTCAATGTGATGCAGGACACATCAGCGCAGATTCAAAAACATGACCGTGCTTCACCCTCAGCTCCACAAGTGTGAACTGTGCAAGAAAGGCACGCAACAGGCTGAGCGCCGGTTGCTGCATCCAGGGCATGCGAGCGCTGGCTGCAACACAAGATTCCTTGGCAGCGAGACGGTTAACGTCTAGAGTCTAGCGCGGATGGCATGGAGCGTATGCAGGGAACGGAAGCTTTGGTGTGGCCTCTCGCCAAGCGTCAGCCAGAGACAAACCAAATTCTTGAACGAAACTGCGCAGTACAAGGCGTGGTTCAGGATCTTCTCCTCTCCACCACGGAGCATGACCATGCTGCGCTCACTGCCGCATGCAGACCTCCAGCTTGATCGATCCAAGCCAGAAAGGTGCTGCTGGCCTTGGGCATGGAGAACTGTCCTTCGAAAGAGCAAACACTGCTACACTGCAGCTGAGGAGCCCAGAACGCACGGACACCTGAGGCGCTGCAGCGAAACTGCAGTACCCCAGCGGGGTGTCCCTTTCTTACGAGCATGACACGCCAGACGGATGGCCTGAGTGGGTTTCAACAGCCGAGCGAAGTAGAGGCTGCGACAGCAGAACTGCTCCACCGAGCAGTTCTACCTCTGGCAGGTTGAAGGTGCTGTCACGTGCACTCCCAAAGTCGGTCTACCGGCCTGCAAAGAAGTGAGCTTGCATTTATCCACGGACACGCGCAGGCGCTCGCGTCCACGCTCGGATGTAAATCGCACCACATCGAACAACCTCAAACACTGACCGACATGAATGGCGGCGCAACGTTCCACTGAAGACTTGCAGCGCTTTGGAAACGATGTATAGAGTCAGAGATTGGACGTCTCAAGTGAGCTGGGCAGCCACGTTCGGAGGCTCTGGCATCTGCTCCTGTTACCCTCAGCAAAGACAAGTCAGTTGCGATGCATGTGGGCTGCAGCTCTGCCTGGTGCTGAGACCTGAGACTTCCCCTAGGAGTCGCACGTTCTCGCCAAGGGCCAGGAAGCTTGCCACAACCCGACTTTCCTCCTGCAGCTCAGGGTCAGAACAGCGGCTCCTGCTGATCCTGCTGCCAACTTACACATGCATCTCCTCGAAAGTTGCAGGAGATGCGTCTTCACTGGCAATGAGATGCAACCTGAGAATTTACACTGTACAGTGGGCGCAACCACCCTGAGATACATTCGAACTAATTATCGCCCAAGATATCCCAAGACAAAGACCAGCCGCGGACCCTTCAGACTTCACATGCGTCCGGAAAGCTCTTACGTGCGATTGGTAGCTGCGTCTACTTGTACACTGAGTTGGGACAAGTTGCAGCCACTGAACTGCAGAGCCACTGAGAGGCCAGGGCTCGACCATCCTTTGATACGCCATCACTGGATTTGCAAACTCACGGCTGCGAAACATCAACACCGACGAAGTGACGTTGAAAACGAGGAGCAAGGATCGCAGTGAATCCAGAACAGCACCGGTCATCGCAGTTCTGTGCACCGTTTCCTGGCCCACGAAACGTCATGAACGAAAGGTTTCGGAGTTAGAGCCTCTCATTTCTAGGCTTGCGACCTCGAGATGCAAGGGCTGCAGCGATTCTTCCTGCAGGCAGAACACAACGCGCACGTGTGTTTCCACATGCGCAAGCTCCGGGGAACAAGTTTGGAGACCCATGTGAGCAGTGACCACTACTTTCACGTAGGCGTCGGCTCGCAAATTCAGGTTGTAACAGTACATGAGACCCAGACTGTTATCACGACTGCGTCTTGTCATCAATCATGTCGTGCTGAATCCAAGGGGCGGTCGATTATCCGCTGCGGACACATGCCAACAAAGCTACAAGTGTTGCTGCACACCGCTTCAAACCATCGTTCAACAGCGAATGGAGGCATGTGTCAGCTTAATACTGCATCCCAGACGCTTCAACCAGGGATTACCATGTATCTCGAGCGAAAGTTCAACCGACATATCGAAACCTTCTTGCTCTTATGAACCACCTTCCACTGTAGTAACTTCCAATGATGCCCCTCCTGATGGTTGTCCTCTTTCGTTCCACGGAGAACGAAGACCACAGGCTGAAAAGGCGGAACGGAACTCATGACCTGCCACATTGCGTCCGTGAGTCCTGGCCCTAGCCCTCAAGATCTCTGAAGTGATCCGAGAGATGACATTCATGCAGTTCTTCCTGCAGAGCACGTCGTGACTGCAAAGTAGACGACCGCAGGCAACCGGTAGCTGAGTGGCACAACCTGTGACGACGCCTCCTAGTTCAAGGGGCATGTTGTTCTTGTCGTCTTCTTCGCTTTATTGCAGTATTTGAGCAAATTAGCAACGAGCTTATCGCACAGCGAGGCGATGCGAGGCGAGTAGCCGAAGGTCAGGCGCACTGCCGGAGCAGCGACAGTCTGGCTCTCTGAGGCTAGCAGCCATGGATCGTAGAGTCTGCATCAGCTCCACCAGTGACAGACGCATCAGCTGCTGCTCCTCGTTTCGAATTGATGTGGTGAGCCCTCCGCTCACGAGCGGCTGCATGCCTTGGGTGGAATCGCACGAGCTTGCCGAGCAGTCTTCCGCCGCTTGGCCCGCGCAGCGTTGAGAGACGCGAAGTCTGCCTCACAAACGTTCTCATCAAGCCATCGCTGTCACAAGGACATACGAGAAAGAGGAGACCTCGGAAGAAAAGACAGCAAACTCACGCGCCTCTTTGGACGAATCTCCTCTGCACTGGTACCAGGGTTGCTGAAAGCGCCGCTTCCTTGCTGAAGGGAGAGCGACGATTGGCACAGCAGGGATCTCGTGGAACTTCTGGGTCACGGACAGCCGAGTCAGAAGCCACTCCTCCTCCTCCGAGACGCCCTCGCTGTGCTTCAATCGGGTAAGGACCTCCCGACACCTGTGACACCACCGGCATGTGCATTCTCGTCAGGAGAAAAAATGACAGGAGGCCTCGACATGTCACCAGATCGCAAGAGCGATTGGGCAAGCTTTCTCAAAGACCTCTCTGGGATGTATCCAACGTCTGCTGTAGATGCAAACCAACAGGCCTTTTTCAGCACATGCCTGACTCAGTGCTTCCAGGATGCACAGTATCCGCAGGCTCCAGGCGAAGACATCGGCACAAGGCCTGCAGCATCATGAGCCAAACTCATCACGGCTTTGCACCAGGAGTCCAGCAAGGACAGAGCTGAGAAGCCCCTTTTGCCTGTGTGGCCGCCGGCCAGTCTTCGGCCTTCATCGCACAGTCTGCCAAGCGTCGTAGCAACGCCATTCGTACATCTGCAGAGCGATGCTCCTGCCAGTGGCATGCATCGTGGAATCTTGAAGCGGTAGATCAGGCTGTGACTGCTGCATCTTGAGAGCTAGAGCCAAATCCTGAGTTGCACAACGTATTGCATTGACTAATATGCTTTGGACCATCAGCCGTCAGCTCCTTTACGACGTCTCTCACGGCATGTTGCAGGCTTGCCAGGGCCTATCAGCGCACACGAGCACTGATGCAAAAATCGTCATGCACCGCTTCTTGCGAGAAAACGCTTTCGAAAAAACTAGCTTCTGGATATGCATGGCAAAAGCTTGGTCCCGTGCCTTCTTGTGCTGCCCGAGCTGTTCTTCAGCTTCGGCCAGATTTTGCCAGCATAGAGCTTTAAAGCTACGAATCCAGAATCGATCACCTGGGCAGCCGCCGAGACTCTGCACCCCTCTGCATGCGCATACTTGCGCTTGCAACCAAAAGGGGCCCCAGCGAGCGCAGCTGCTGTCAACAGCAAGGAGGAGTTTCAGGCGTCGCTTCGCTTCCAGTGCCTTCCCCGCCGCTCTGCATTCTTTGCATCGCTTGCACGGCTTTGCCCAGAGCCAGAGCCTTGCCCTCCGAGATGGACTTCAAGGCTTCCTTCGGGAAATTCGTGTTTCCCAGACCCTGCAGCCCGGGTCGTTCCGGCCTCGTAGCTGTTTCTCAGCTGAGCTCTGTCGATTCCATCTTCGGCTCCAGGGACCTCGCCGGAAACCAGACACGAACACTTTGCTTTGTGCATTGCGAACTCCACTTCCGTGAGTTTCTCACCTCGTCTTCTGCAGCGCCGAACTGCGCAAACTTCAGCATCGCCGAAACCTCGGAACAAACACCCATCGTTCAATCCCGAGCCCAGGCTGGCACACACAAGCGACCCCAAACCGTGGCACAGAAGACAAGTCGAGCAAACACCGCGGAATTCCAGATATCAACACGCTTCAGGCTGCAGTTCTGCTTCCTACTGAGTCGAGCGACATTGGGCCGTCGCACGACCCTCTGTCCGTCAAATCTACCGGCTGCCGCGTGTTGCACGGCATTGCTGCAAGCTTCTATTTGCACATGTTTGTGGACTGCTCCGTATCTATCTGCATGCCAGGGTCTATGATAATATTGCACTTTAACTGCAACGCACTCTACTGAACAAGCAGGCAAGCTCTCGCATTCTCTTTTCCTGAAGGTGGGGTTCCTGCGGCTGAGCCGTTTCCTGCAAAAGTCTGAGTCGCACCCTTCACCCTGCGGAGTCTGTAACTGACTGCAGGAGACTGAAGCGATGCGATCGGAACCTGTGACCGACTGTTCAAGAAGAAAGGGAGCGATCCGATGGACCGGCTGTCACGCCCCTCTGTCGGTGCTGGCCCATTGGCCGTCTATAAGTCCGTCTGCGACAGACTGGCATGTAAGGCATGCCTGCACCTTCGAAAAGTCTACCATGGCTGTGATCTGTAGTCCAGCAAAGACTGTGCGACCGCAGAGGAGCCTATCCTGGCCCACACGGCTGACATGTACGACTCCACTGCGCACGTTCGTCAAAAACTGAAAGTCACTGCTACTGGCTACCAAGGCTAGGCTGTGGCTGACGCTCTGCAACAACTGCACATCTTCGGCAGAAGAGCCATCAGACTCCAGCTCTTCGTCACTGCTGCTGTCAGAGGACTGTTGCGGCGCTGCTGCTTCCAGAAGTGGCTTGCTGGGCAGAGGCTTGGGCGCGGCTGAAGAGGCTGCTGCCGCTGAGGTCGACTGTTCAGCCTGCCAACGTCCTGACCTGGTGGAGTCTGGCTTGAACTTGCCCTCTTTCACGTCTTGCAGGACCTTCGCCAGGTGTCTGAGCGGTCCTGCTAAGCTGTCCCTGCCATAGCTCATGGCACTAGAGCTCTTCCCCCTGCTGTGGTAGCCTAACAAAGTCTGGTCAGGGTCTGGGATCCCCGCCTTCATGGTCCAGCTTAGACAAGTGGCCTTGAGTCCTTGGCTGGACATCTGCAGGATGTCGTCCAGACTGCTGCCGGGCTGCTTGGACAACAAACAGCGAAGCCACTTGGACGCTGTGGCGGAGTCCATGTTGACTGGCAAAAGACTACCGTCGGCTGCGAGCTCTGGGAGAAGAGGGCTGTCTGTAAGGCTGCCTTCGCACACCAGCCCCAGATCTTGGCGCAGCTCCAGCCACCGAACCGCCCACGGCTCTGAGCAGATGCCCTCGGCTGGTGCCACAATCGGCAGAAACATATTCCGCCTTCGACTGGATTTCGACTGCTTGGGGTTCAGGACTGAGCACTCCAAGAAAACAACGTTGCCTTCGTCGTCTCTATCTACTGTTAGCTTCTTGCTGCGCTTCAAGTCGCTATGACGTGCCCTGGCATAAACCATGAAAAGAAAAGTGGACGCCAGGTAACACTCGTACTGTGACTCGTCTGCGACTGAGAAGGACTGTAACCAACGTACCTGGTCTGTCGTCAAGGCTGGAGCCTGCTTGCTAGGCTTCTGCTGTCGAAGGCTCTGGTGCGCGATGCTTTGCACGCGCGGGCTAACCAGACTGGAGGCTGGTGTCTGCAGACCGAGGCACCCCTGACTGAAGTTCAGAGCCTGACAAAGCTGGTCTGGGGCACTACTGCTGGGCTGTTGGCTGGTAACGTGCTGACAGTAGAGAAAAACCAGCGGTTCGCTCAAGGGCTCGTGCGGGAAGGCTTTCAAGCACCAAGCCGCGAACCGTTGGAGGCTGCTGATCCTGTTCAGCAGGGTGTTGGTGCTCTTCTTGGCAAACCTAAGGTCCAGGTTGCCCAGTTCCACGCGGCTGCTTTCGTTGGCCACCTCACTGACTGTTTCGGGCTGGAAAAAGTGCGGCACCGCCCTGAGCAACTGGCTCCACTTCGACAAGGCTGCTTGCCGTTCGGCCTGACTGTCTTGAGGCTGCCACTGCCCGAGGGCCTTGAGTCTGGGCTTGGGCGCCACTGGGGCTGAGACTTCAGCGGCCTGAGTCGACTGTGTCGGCCGAGGCAAGGGCACTGCTGCTGGCTGTGCCAGCAACTGGTCTTGCAGGTCGTCTAGGAACGTCCTGTCCTCGCACACGAAGTTGAAGGCTCCTGTCTCCCAAGGCAGCTGTAGGTCTGTCCTGGCCCGTTTGACTGAACCGAAACCAAAACCACATTCCCAACTGGGGTCTACTGTTCGTCTCATAGGGAAGCGGAGGGTGGGCTGCAAAAATTTTGGCACTTGAGCCAAAATGGACGTGGCGATCACAGTTAAAGTCTGATACATGTATACATGCCTTAACTGCAACGCACTCTACTGAACAAGCAGGCAAGCTCTCGCATTCTCTTTTCCTGAAGGTGGGGTTCCTGCGGCTGAGCCGTTTCCTGCAAAAGTCTGAGTCGCACCCTTCACCCTGCGGAGTCTGTAACTGACTGCAGGAGACTGAAGCGATGCGATCGGAACCTGTGACCGACTGTTCAAGAAGAAAGGGAGCGATCCGATGGACCGGCTGTCACGCCCCAACTTCTTTCAATGAGCCGGTCTACTGCATCGCCTTAGGGTGACGGCTGCAGGAACTGCTGCGGGACGGCTCCTCTGGCTAAGCACCGCAACCACCCCACCTTCACTTCTCTCTCCGTGGCTTGTCCGAGAAACTCAGCTGCTTCACCCCTGCTGGGCGCGTCTGCGGGGTTGCTGGCACTGGGCACTCTGGCAAACCAAGACTGGAGGAGGAACTCCTCTTCGCAACAAAGAACGGTCTGAAGAAGCCTGTAGTTCGACTCGGGGAAACCCCGTGCACTGATGAGACAGTGCCTGGCTGCGTCGTTGTCTATCCACCACGTCACCGGCCATTCCGCCATTGATGCTCCCCACAGAGCGGCGGCTACACAGACTGCTAGCATCTCACACTGCAGGATGGGATGGCTGGTGCCTTCATGCAGCCACGTCTGGACCAAGTCTTGCGGCACAGTAGCCTGAAACCATTCTGTGATCCGTCCTGTCGGGCTGCAAAGAACGCCTCCTATGCGTCCCAGTCCTGCTTCGAAGCTGCCGTCGGTAAAGACGTTGTAGGCCTTCGTCGGTGGCCTTTTGAAGGCCCTGGGCTTGGCTGCTGGCACATGTTGCTGCACCCAGCTGAGGGCGTCTCGGAGCTGAGGTGAGAGCTGCAACTGTCTGTGCCTGCCTGGCCTGCTCCCGTGCTCCAGGATGGTGCGAAAGGCCCATCTGCCCTTCCTGCCAAATATCTGGGCATCCAGCCATCTGAGTCTACCTGCGAAAGCCAGACATTCTGCAGGGGAGAAGGTCCCCGAGGCTAGAGCACGCTGGCATGTGACTGTCACTTCCTGTTTCCGGCTTTCGGTGTTGCTCACCCTGACGAAGCCTGCTGGAGTTCTTGGCAAAATGTATGCGATGCCTAGGCTGACGAAGCTCTCTGCAAAGGACTGCGCCTTGCTGCCGTCCAGAGCTGCCCTCCAGCCCAGGAGCTTTAGCAAAAGGAGAAAGCCGGTTTCTACGCTTTGGCTGTCCTCAGAGACTGTGACTGAAGTGTAGTCATCGAAGAACACTGTGAGAGGCAGGAGCAACAAGCTGACCGCCACGTGCCAGATTGCAAGGCTGCAGCGACTGAACCCATGGACACTGCCGGTGGCCCCAAAGGGCAGGGCTTTGAGGGCTAGCACGGCTGGAGCTGCGGCGTCTGGGTTCCATACTGCGACTTTTGCGAAAGGCAGGTCCTCGGTGGCTATGCCGAGTTGCTTGAAAGCAGTTTTCAAGTCGAATGTCCTGCCCTTCATGCCTGCGGGCTGCGCCGCTGTCCTGTGCTTGGAAAGGCAGCGACATTGTATGTGCAGCGCCAGAGCAATGGTGCTGGAGCTCGGCTGTACGACTATCTTTTCATCTGCACCGAGGCTGGAATTGACTGAGCTGACTGAAAGGTCATCTATCGGCCTAGTTTTATCGCCTTGAACAACTGGGAATCTGCGGCCTAAGACGCAGTTCTCCGGAGCCTTGGTGTGTCCGGTTTCCAGGGTGGCCCAGCCTTGGGAGCACTCCTTGATACTCTGATGCCACAGCTCCCTGTCAAGGTTTGGATCAGTACTCGGTCTGCATTGGCTCCAAACTTGCTTGTTGTGACGCAGTCTGCTTTCCCAGACCTCATCTCTGTGCATGACTGGCGGTACAACTTTGGACGGCCTAGTTTCCGTGTCTGGCAACCACCCTGTGATGCGAAAACCTGCACGCATGTCTGACACTAGCTGCCTGTCTGGGAAAGCGATGCCTTGGAGGATAGTATCAAAAAACCTTAGGCGCTTTCCTTTGAGGATGTCCCTAAGGTGGGGCTGCAGCTGTCTGTGGTCTGCATCCTCCTGCGCTTGGAGCTCACGTGCCATGTCACACAAGGAACGCAGCCTTTCACACCGCAGCCTATGAATGTCTGAGAGCTTGCGACTGCTGAGGCTTTCCACTGTTCTATCAAGTGCCTCGGGCAATGGCGGCAAAGCACACGATGGGTGCTGGCTTGCCGCCGCAGCCTTGAGGAAATCTTCTGGTGGCACTGGCTGTCCCACAAGGGCCCACCAAGTCCCATGCTCCACACCAACCGTGACAGTGGTTGAACCTTTGGGAAAGGAGGCGTCCTGCAGGCGCACTCCTGGGACGAATTTTGTCCTGTCTGAGTCGCTGTCCAGTCTGACCCACTGCTTGCCTTGGAATGGGTCTACTGTGACGGGCGAGTGCGTGGCCTTGGGGAATAGACCTAGGGCAGCTCTTTCAGAGGCTGCAAAGCGCTGGGTGCCGTGCCAGAGACTCGGAGCCTGAATCCTGCCTGTGTCGACTAGCTCCTGCGTGACTAAGGCTGCCCAGTGCCTGCATAAGGCTGTCGGATAAGCGGCCTCGGCTGAGGTCGCCCAGACTGTGCCTGACTTGCCCCAAGGCAGGTGGGTGTGATTTAGGCCTGGGTGGCATCTGAGCGACAGGGCTACCACTGACTGAGCGCTTGACCAAAACGTGGTTGCTTTGCGCCTGGATCCGCCATACACGCAGCTGTCGAATGTTCCGAAGTGGATTCTATCCTTATGGTCTCTCCACAGGCTTTGCAGCGGTGTGCAAAGCCAGAACAAACTTGACTGCGGATTTTCCAATGACCAGCAGATGCCGGCCTCAATGCATGCTCGAATGACTAGTGCCGTGAACTGATAGAGTTTGTTCGCTGCCTTGACTCGCTGTCTCTGTGCGAACCCCAGTGTGGGCAGCCCGTCAGGGTGCAGCGGACTGCGGAGCGGCTGTGGGGAGTCTGCACCTGCAAAGATATTTCTGGCGGCACTGCTGGTGCCACATGGTGGGGCTAAATGTACGGCTGAGATACGTCTGGAGCGAAGAAGATCAAAAATTAGTTTCTGGCTCTGAGGTTGTGCCAGGTCTAGGCTGAGCCCTGCGACACCGCTGGGCTTGACTGAATCGACTGCCAAAACTTGCAGACCAAGCCTGGCAAATGCCTTGGACATGCGGGCTGTGCCTGCAAAGAGTTCCAGAAAGAGTGTGCCCCCAGAGCCAACGGCCGCTGGAGGTGGCGGGGGCGGTTCTGCCTCCTGTCTGGCTATGGGAGGCTGCTGTCTCATCTGTTCTTGTGCCTGCTCGTGTTCCTTAACAACCGGGCTGGCTGGCTGAGTTGACACCTCAGCTTGCTGAGGCGCCGTGTCTGAGGTGACTGCCGCGCCCCCTGGCGTCACTCCCTGTCTGAGCGCGCTGTGTTCTCGGCTGAGGTCGCAGCTTGCGGTCCCTGCCTGTACCTGGGCTGTTGTGGTGCCGTCTGAGACTGTGGTACCAACAGAGCTCGGCTGCTCCTGCGGCACCACGGTCACCGGGCTTCACTTGTCACATGCAGAATACGAGTGCTCGCCATGACACTTCATGCAGATGTGAAGCCCTCTGCGGCACGTCAAGCCTAGGTCTGTCTGCCAGGTCTCCTCGCTGCAGCCATGGGGCAGGCTGTGATTGAAGCAAATCGGCTGTCCCTTGAAGTTAGGGTCCAGACCTTTAAGCGCGGCTGGGACAGACGTCTGAGTTTTGTCTTTGCCTTTTCCAGCTTTGCCCTTGCCTGCCTTGCCACTCTGCCATGCCTGTTGCATGAACTTGCCCTTGCCCTTTCCTTTGCTGCCCTTCTCGCCTTGAAAAGACTGATCCCAGGTCCTCTTGAAGGGCTGCTTCTCGGGCTTCTCTGGCTTTGGAACAGGCACAAGGAAGTAGGCTACTTGCATGCTGTGCTGCCAGTTTTTAATGGCGTTGTCGATGGCGTCTGCCTTGCCTGGGCCTGTGAACTCACTGCCGACTTGCTCTGCGACTCGCACCCACAGCTCTCTGTCTGCTCTAAGAAGGGCGTCAATGCCTGGCGCCTCGAACTTAGGCGGGGGTGGCCTGTGCAAGTGCTCTAGCAGCGTCCTGGCATAGGCTTCATGGACCTCAAAGGTCCCAATGCCTGCCATCTCCATGGCTAGACCGCGTCTGCTTAAGGCCTGAGCCACCCTGAGTTCGGTAGACAGGTCGACCTTAAGCGGCTGAGGCTTGCTCGCCAGCCGCAGGGCTGAGTTCTCAAGCCTAAGCAGGTGTTCGTCCTTCTTGACGTTCGCAACTTCCTGCTCTCTGCAACTGCAACGGTGCAAGGGCACATGCCGCACCGACTGGTCAGAGAGCATGCTGCTAAAGGCATCGACTAGCTGATGACTCGGTTCATATTGCCCAGAAATGCGAAAGCTTCCGAGCTTGGACTGCAAGGCCTGCAGACGACTGGTTCTCTCTTGTGTGGAAAGTCTGCGGGTCGGCTCTGAGCTTGGCTGTTCCAGACTACTGCGCAACTCTGCTACCACGAAGGTACCTGCCTCGAAAAGGAGCCGGTTGACTGCAGAAGCGACTGAGTCTGTGGCTGGGGGCTTCATGCTCTTCAGAAGCTTATCCAGCTTGCCACTGTCTATGGCATTGGGTGCGCTGGCCACGCGAAACAGCAGCTGAGAGTAAGTCTGGATTCCGTCTGTGGCCCATGCAGTAAGGCTTTCCTCAGGAATGCCGTGCTGGGCTGCTTTTGCCCGGAAGGTGACTGTGGAGTCACTCACGGAGGCCATGGCTGTCCTGCGATCGCACTAAGGACACAAGTCCTAACGCATCCGCAGATCTAGTCAATGACTCCACTTCCGACTCAATCGAGCCTCTCTGTCGGGCTGCTGCTGCTGCTGTCTGTTGCCTGCAGGACCACAAGGTCACACTGGGCACCACAAGGTCCAGAGATGAATGCCGCACCTGCCTGGAGGTCTGCGCGCACCTGGCTCAAGCCCGGTGGTTGCAGACTCTGTGTGCACAGGGCTGGCCTGGTGCCGTCTTGGAGGGACACAGCCCGCCCGCTACAAGGCTCAAGCCAAGGCGATGCGCGAGACTGCTTTCTGGGCAAGGCTCAAGCACTTGCTTAGTCATAACGGCACACAAGTGCACTGGAAGCTCACCTTTTGGCTCAAGCCACAGGGCGGCAGTCTGAGAACTCACTAGGTGAGACAAGACTGCAAAAGGCTGGGCTGAAGCTAGGAAGAGGCACACAAGTGCCGCCCAACCACTGGCATACACAGCCGGACTGGAAGAAGTAACGAAATATTCAGCTCTAAGGCGATCGCGGCTGAGCCCAGGGCTGGGTCTAGTCTGAAGCAGACAAGAAGGAGGGCACCAGGGCCCAAGGCGTGGCTGTTCAGACTGAGAGAGGCTATGACACAGACTAGGCTAGACTGAGGCAGGCTGTCACTTTCACCAAGGAGGGGGGGGGGCCTGCTGCGGCACACAAGCACAGTGACACCACAGGTTACGACATGCTGCGGTACCTTGGCTTCATCGTCTCCGCTGGCTGCGGTGTGACCCTGACAGGAAAACAAGGCCCACAGAACACTGGACTGAAGCCCGCCTGGAACATGACAGCGAGGACAGTCATGATGGTCATGCCAGGCCCCCCCCTCCTTAGTGAGAGTGAGGGGCCTGGAACAGGCCATGGCCTGACACTGAGGACACACCGAAAGGCAAAAGCCATCGGTACGATGACCGTGGTCACGTAGTGCCCTTGGTAGGCGGCTGTCGCGGGCTGTGGAGAGGCTAGGGAAGGCTAGGGAGTACGGCGGCACAGCCGGTAGGAGGCCGTGCGCGCCTACCGCCTCCCATTTTGCATAGTACAGGCCGGAATTGTATCCGACCAGCTCGTTCGGAAAAGCCTGCAGCGCGTCTGAGCTGGCTGAAAAAGGCTGTGCCGGCTGGGGCAGTGGCTGCTGAGGTCTGACTGGCTGACGCAGCTGACCGGCAACGGGGCCGACACCGCGCGTTCCACCCTGCGCTGTCTCAGGCCGCTGCAGTGGTGGGTCAGCCACCAGTGGTGGTGGCTGTGCCTTTGGCTGCGGCGACTGCTTGGGCTGCACCTGAGTCTGTGGCTGCTGGACCTGGGCTGTAGTGGTCTGTGCCTGCAAGTCTGGGGCAACTAAGGCAGGTGGCGGCGAGACTGTGGGCGCCTTGGCCATTGGCTGTCCCGGCCGGGCTTTCACCGGCGGCTCCTTGACGACTGGGGTCCGACCGCCGGCGCCCTTGCCTGCGCCTTTCTTACTGATGGGCGGCACTTTACCCATAGCAGCCTGAGCCTGGGCTAAGCCTGGCTGTGTCACCTGCAAGGCTGTCTGAGAAGGGTCTGCCGTAGCTGCTGTTGTCTGAGGTGCCGGCTGCATGCTGTCTGTGTCCTGAGTCATGGCCTCGGTTTGGTCTGCCCAGGACTGACTGGGCTGGGTAGGTGGCTCGTCGTCTTCCTCCTCAGTGGAGGAGGGCCCATACTTCAACCGCCAAGATGCGGTGCCTAAGCCGGTGTCCACGATCACCTGGCTGCCATCGTCTTGGGCCTGTCTGACACGACTGGTGTGCTCGATGACCTGTTCGAGTCTGCCTTGTAGGTCTGGCGGCAGGTTGCTGAGGCTCTCGACTAAGAGGTCGCCATCACGGCTGAGCAGCGCCACCCACTGCTCCTCTGTCTGGTGCACCTGCTCTACCCATGACTGACCTTCTGCTCCACCATCTGCCTGAGACATGGCTGAGCGTTCTAAAGGCGAGACTCTGTCTGTCTATCTGCAAAAATTTTGGCACTTGAGCCAAAATGGACGTGGCGATCACAGTTAAAGTCTGATACATGTATACATGCCACATACTGCTGAAGACTTCTCCTGGCTTGGTGTTACAACCTGCAGCGGCTGGTGCCGCCTTCTCGTGACCGTGCAAAGGCTTGAACGACATGACGAACTCTCAGCACGATGTATTGACCAGTTGGCTTGTGGCCTCATCGTATCAAAGCCCTAGCACTCTTCACGTCTATGGTAGCGTCTGACGCTAATAGCGGCGAGCATGCAACTGCATGTTAGTCGGCACAGCGTTTAGGGAAAAGAGAGAACACGGGATTCCGGAGTCCTGTTGAGCCGACTCAGCACATTGTTTTGTCTCTCACAAGCAGCAAGCAAGCCGTTCGCGTCACTCCGCCTCGCAAGGCAAGCCCGATTGAAGCAGAAAATCCCGGCTGTCCTCCAAACCTTTTACAACGAAATGCACTCTGCTCGCTGCGCCTGTCGTGGAGTTGCAGCACCTGCCGGCCTTCACGTAACAGAAACACTTGACAAGACGGCAAGCAGCCCTGCCTCTTCGAGAATCTCAAGCATTCAAAGCATTTAGTCTTCCAAGCCCCACTTTATACCCCAGATGCTGGACCGACAGGGAGCATCCACATACAATGCTCTCAATACACAGACCCGGGCAGAGCCAAGGCGTACTTGAGGCGCCGGCTGATCAGCCCCCGCTGGCGTCGCGTGCGCGTCAAGGGCAGGCTGAAAGGGCGGTTGACTGTCTGCGCGGCTGTTGTGACGGGGACTCCGGGCCTCGTCAAAAGTAGCGAAGTCTTCCAGGCCCGGTGCGATTTGGTCAGAGGCCTTGCGCTGCCGAGAGCATTCGCGGGCGGGTCACGTCCCGCTCTTGAAGCTTTGCAAGCTCGGCTCGTGGCGCCAAGCACGGTAGGGCTTTGACCTGCCGACGCCTGTCGCAGATTGCAGAGATACAGGCCTCACGGCTTGGGCTCAGCCCACCATGCAGCCCTGCCTTCTGTGGCTCCTCCGCTGTGCCTGTCGATTACTGCTGACGATTTCATCTCGGATAACGGAAGTCAGACCCAGCCCGGCACAGCACCAAAGCAGTCGTGGACTCCGAAGGAGGCCCAGGCTGCCAAGCGGCATGTCGCAGCGTCTGGCCAGGTGTCCTCGTCCTGGCGAGACGACGAGGCCCTTACACTCTATGGCTCCGGTGTGAAGACGCCACCATTCGACAGCCATGACAATTGCGCGTCCTGTGGCAGGACTTCGTATTGAAGTGATGCCAAGGAGTCTACTGCCACAGACTTGTTCTTCAGCCTCGCCTCACACTCTCGTCTTGTTCAATCTCTTTTAAGATTCTATACTGGCTGGGCATCAGCCGCAAGACGAACAGACTCTGAATACACTTGACTTAGATTGTTATATTGCTGGCAAGTAGCGTAGATGAGCATTCCAGCCAGGGCCTCGGCAGCTCCGTGGCAAAGATGCCAAGGCTGAGTTTAGGGAAGTATACCACAGTTTGCCTGACCCAGTGGTTATTGAGCCATTGGTGGGACTGACCCACATCGAGCTGTCGCTCGCTGGATGTACTTCTCACCTGAAAACGTCCGAGTCTCGAGGAGCAGTCCGCTCCACTGCAGGGCCGTCGTCTTCTCGCCGAAGACGAAGATGGAAAAGAGGATCGTCACCTAGGCTTTCGGACAGCATCGACTTCAACAGGCGCAGCCAGCTGAGCTCCAGGCGATGGACTTGAGATTGCCGAAAACTGCCAATGTCAAAGAAGACCTCGGGATTGACAATGACGCTTTGCAACAAAGACTGGTTCAGCCCGTGCATCGCAGCTCCACTCCGATCTCACGTCTGAGCGAGTTGCGTGACTTTCACGAGGTGTACCTGCTCAAAGCCGCCAGTTACCAGGAGTAGCAATCTGTGCTCCCGAGAGGCCTCGACGAGGAGGAGGAGGAAGGCAAGAAAACCTGGCAGCAGTACCTTGGGTCTGCTGTGCTCTGATTAAGATGCTGGAGCGCATCCACATGGAAACGACATTGTGGCCAGTCAGGAATTTCTTTTCCTGCTGCGGCCGATTCATCTGCAAAGCAACGAGCCAGATGCCGACAGATCGGCGGATCGGCGGATCGGAGCGAAGGAGCGGCTCAAGATGTCAAGATGCTGCGGGCAACAGCCCAACAGTTCCCTGGGGGTCTGGCTCCGCCTGGTTTCGGCTTCCAGCAGCTTCTCGGGAGTCGGAAAGTCGGGACTCGGACAGTTCCCTGGCAGAGCGTCGTCATCGCCGCGCGGCACACTGTCCCCGGCCATCTGGCCAAATATCTTCGATGGTCAAGGACACTCGGTGATGTACTGGGAGAAGGTCGACAAAAGCTTTCCGGTACAGTGGGGTTGGGAAGTCTAGAGTTTGAGACTGCAGAGTAACCCAAGTGGATCGATTCAGTGAGCCTTCCAGTGTCCATTGCACTGGATCTCGGGGGCAAAGGCCGTCGTAGTCACAGGTGCGCCCATCGTGTTTCCCGAAGTTTCGATCTCCTGGCTCCCTGGCCGTTGCCCAGCGGAATGCGTCGATTTCGGTTTCAACGCCAAAATCGAAGTCCAGCTGAGTGCCAATCAGTTCAGCCACTGATGAGTTGAGATTACTGTCTAGAGCTCTCGCATGCGCAACGCTTGAGACGAATGCAACACCCTGTGGTACAGACAGCTCCTCCCACACACCACCATAAGCTCGCGTCCCGGCATTAAACGTTGTTATTCTTGTCCAGTTTCCCGCGCTGTGGCCTTCAAGTGCAAGACTAAAAGAGGCATACTCCTGATCCTTGTCTTGAAGAATTCGCACACACTTGGCTGTTGTTGGGGAAGAGAAGTTAAGGCCTATCCACTGCGTGCCTGCACGGCATGGGTTTCGACAGTCTGCCCACCAGTTGGTCGTGACATTGGCATCAAATGCATATGCAGCAGGCCCATGCAAATCAAACGTCATCGGATCTGCAAATGGCCGGGACTGCCAATACGTCCGAGGAGTGTCATGTGCACCCATTGGTGCCGTGTGGTCGATAGAATGCCCAAATCCTCGAGGAAGGCTCGAGGAAGCTATGGCTGTACCGTTCGTGAGAGGAACCGTGCAGTTTGTATCATTGTAGAACTCCAGTTCCCAAACTCCCCATGTCTGAGGAACATCCATGGCATTCACGATCCTGTAGGCATCGTAGTGCCCATCAGGTGCTTTCTGCGTAGTTATGGGCTGGCCATGCCTCCAGAACTCGATCTCAGCAATCTGAAAGATGGGAAAGGTGCAGTATGTCGCGCCCATGGCATCTGGGATGCAATATCCGGACCTGCATTCAGTATAGTCCAAACAGAAGCAGCCGTCTGGCTTCAAAGTATCCGAGCAAGTAAAGCTGTCGGTCGCCGCATAGCCACGAGCCTTTGTCGCAGTCCAGCGGTAGTACCGATAGTTTGGCACCTGGCACCAAACCTCTTCAGGAACGATGGCAGGGTACTGCGCACCGGTTGGGCGCAACAGGAAGATCGCCTTCCACATGGGGAGCTGACACTACGGGCTGTGCCACAGGTCGGGAATGTCTTCGCTCAAGAGCATGGCTGTCAATCTTCAAGTCCTCAATTTCTGTATTCTGAATGCTGAAACATGTCCAAACAGACCAAGAGGTGTATCGTGCACTCGCAAGACACGAGCAGGGAAAGCCATGAGCCGAAAGCGAAACAAAGACGGAGATTGTCTAGACTAGTAAGACACCGTCTTGGCTCGGATTGCGGGTGAACGATGCAGCTTGGTTTTAGCATGCTGCAAAAGATGCAAGGTTCAGCTTCGGTTTGGAAAACCCACTTTGATCAGGTGCAGTAGGTTGCACCCGCCTGCAAATACTCATCTCCAGAAATGAAGGACTCGTGCGAATCGTTGGATCGAAAATGCGGTGAGTCCAAAGCTTGAGCGTTGGAACTCCAACGCTTGGCCTCCCGTCGCTAAATAGATCCACAGAGCTCGCAGAAGTACACCGTGACACCGTCAAGTACTACCCCACAGTTGGCAATGAAACACCGAACCCTGGAACCAAGCAATGGCAGATGCAGTGGAATCTCGCTTTTCGAACACCCACAGCTCAAAGCCTTAATGCTCCAGAGTTGCAAGGAGGAAGTACTGGCCAGCTGCATCGGGCTCTGCCAAAACATGCAACTTTTCCCTCTCTCCTCACAGATGCATCGGAAGCTTGAACATGTAGCCGTGACAAGATTGCCGGTGAAACTGCACTAGAGTCGGAAAGGCAGATCAATGCATCGCAGCATCGTACCCACACGAAAGGTGCTAGCGTCAGTGACGACGCAGGTGACCTTAGATCACATCGACACAAGGCCCGTACTACACAATGTACTATGACGACGACCTTCACCAATGCCTCGCCAACTGTTGCCAGCTGAGTCTCATGTAGAAAACCGTCTGCATAGCCTTTGCAACTGGCAAGATAAAGGAAAAAGCCCGTGAAAGGTCGTCCCCGGGAAAGATAAAAGCGACGTGGATGGCGTCGCACAGCGAGGACCAAGACTGCTTCTATGTTTCTTAACATACACTTTTTTGCTGGGCATACTGTGGCCGCCATCTACGGACTGGACTCTCCTGCGGAACTTGTGCCGGGCGGCAGATAAACCGCTCGATTGGAGGGTCTTCTGCGTCGCAAGCCAGCGCAAGGCAGCGAAGACCTCGGAGCCTGAGCTTCCAAACCGACCGCATCGGGTCGGAGCGCGGAGATCTTTAAAGAGATTTACAGAGCTAAGGCTACTTGCGATGGCAAAGGCACCGAGCACCAGCCAGAAGCCCCGGAGGTCAAAGTCTGTCTCCCCGTAAGATGTAATGAAGATTCCAATTGAAATCCTCGGCAAGAGAGCAACTTCTCACTGCTTGTGCACAGCTTGGGCAGGATGGGTCGCTGCTGAGGCTCCCACAGAAGGACCGTGGCTGCAACTCCGGCAGAGCCTAATGCCAGCGTATAAATCGCAGAGAAGAGACTGGATCAATAAAGACGCTTCTTACCAGAACTACAGCTTTCATCCTGAGAACCTGACATTTCTCGATGCGCAGAACTGCACCCAACACCTGAGAAGCCATCACAAGCATGTTGGCTCCTCTGCGCTTTGGCACCAGGAGCCAAGGTCTTGGCCAGGATGAAGATCAACGAGGCCGACCTGCCAGAAAAAAGGGGAAGCAAGCATGCCCTGGTATGGGCACTAACAAGCATCTTTACAGACCTTTCAGGACCCGCTAGTGGCGGAATGAGAGCAGGAAAACGCATCCGAGATGCTTCAACATCGTGTAGAAGGCAACAGTGATGAACAGAAAGCCTGGTGCAGCCACCAGTAACATCAACCACACAGCACCTCTAAACAAGAACCGAAGACTTGGACAAGATGAGGTTGGCACTCATGTTGGATGCTGCCACATCCAGCGCCGTCATGACGCCGACTAGGGACACTCCGCAGCAAACCGAACGCCTCACATTCCGAAGGTGCACAAGAACCGTGGAACCGTGGATGGCCGTGCCACATCGCCTCTGCTTGCCGGGAGGATGACAGCTCATCACCAAGTAAAGAAAGGAGAAGAAACCTTTCAAGACCATGTGACCTGGCTTGGGGAATCGCAGCCAGTCATGCGTTCACGCGTTCATCCCGGGTTGAAGCCGATTTTCAGGGGCCGGCTCATGGTGTAGAAGAGCGGAAAGTTGAGGCCGCCTCTCCAAAATTTTCCGCAACGCACCAGTCTCCGGACATGGCAGCTCTAAGCCAGGACTGTTTCCAGCCTCTCCAAGACTTCATGACCCATTTGTTCAGCAACACCAGAGTAATGGATACACCTGAGCTGGAGGTTTAGGGCATGCCGCGCAGCTCAGAGCACCTCACAGCGTCTGCTGCCAGGTTGCTGTACCATCCTTGGAGCAAGGAGGCGGCCTAAACCCACATCGTTCGGTTCGGCCCTATATAGCCTATGGCCGATGTCAATCTTTTTCCGGCCGCGCACCTACTGTGCCTACTGCTCCCACTCCTCCTAGTACCGCTGCTGGTGCTGGTGCTGGTGGGGGTACAGGTGGTGCCGGTGGTGGTCATGGTCGTGGGGGTGCCTGGTTTGCTGGTGCTGCTGCTGGTGATGCTGCTGGTCTGTGCTGCTGGTGCTGCTGGTGCTGGCGGTGCCGGTGGTGCCGTTGGCGTCGTCATCGTCGTCGTCGTACAGCAGCGCAGGAACAGTAGCTTGCAAAAGTACTGACAGAAAGTCATGCAGCTCTGTTGTCGTCACTGTGGCGATGGTGACTACTAGGGCTGTTTTAAACTGACGATTGCAGGGGCGATACCAGTTCGTTTCCGCCTCGTGTCGCAATTTCGTTTCATTGCTGACTTAGTCCATCCAGAAAGACGACTTTTTATAATCTTTCCGTTCCGATCTCGTGAACACCAAACCCTAGACCCTAAACCCTAAACTCGAAAGCCCCACAATACCCATATTTGCAAAAGAAGCCCGAAAAGTTTAATCAAAGAACACCTATGAACACATTCGGCCAGGTCTCCCAAAACCAAGCTGCAAATCAGAAGTGCTGCTGCCGCCCGTGAGTCCGGCCTGGCGCGCTTCACCAATCTGCGTGTGCCTTCGCCTCAGGGACGAGAATTTGCTGCTTCGTGAGGTTCAAGCGTTCAGTGTTTTGGGGTTTAAGGTATAGGTTTAAAGATTTATAAGGGTTAGGGCTTACGAAGAGGAGGCTGTGGGCTGATCGCAGCGTTTAGGGCTTGTTAGAGCCGCCTTTAGTGTGCAGGCTTTGGTTTCCGCCGAGGGGCTACAGCACACAAGCGTCAGGAAGAACAGAAGCTCTTCCAGAATTGAGACAATGTCGGGACTCATGGGCACACATGATGCTTCACTGGCTGCAAAACTATTGAATGTCTAGACTGGACAGGGTGATTGTTTGTCAATATGCTTGCCAAGTCCGAGTCCAACACGTTTGAGGCGGAGGAGGACTGTGTTGCCCGGCTTCTGTAAATGATCGTCGACTGTCCTTCTGATTCATTGGTGTCGAAGGTCTATGTGCCGTTTCAACGTGCTTGAGCATTGCTGGCAGGCCAAAGTCAAGAAAGGCTCGAAACCGTGAAAAAGCACGATGCTGGACACGACCCCTACCAGCAGTGTTTTGGGGCAAGCCTCGCCACGGACTCGAATCAACGTTTCACAGTCAGGCATTAGGGTACGTGTGCTGTCTAAATTAGACACACTTTCGTGCACGGCATCTACTGGATCTGCCGCAGCTACTTCTGTACAGGCAAACAAACCGCTAAACCCGAAGCTGTCCAAGGCATTGCAGCGCATTGCGGTCCCAGGCTGCCCAGGGTCCAGGACGCCAGGCAGGCACCAGCTGGGACTCACTCTGAGTGCGCCGTAGAATCTTGCATGCAGCCCGCCGCGAGCCGCGTGCACAGCATCAACCTGACCAGCCAAGGACTCAACCTGCGTAGACGGGGCTCTGAAGACACAAGCGGCGGAAGTGCACCTGTACCGGATTCGTTGGTCCATTGCAAGCGCATGGTCAGGTTCGCGGGCTTGTCAGAGTCAACCCTGCCCTGAGTCGTCGCCTTCACACCACACCACGGATGTTGGTCTTGTGCGCTTCCTTGCACCCTCCGTGGCCCAGCATGCTCGTGCTACAGGCATCTGCTCGGGCATGCCACCGAAGGCCGGGATGAGGAAGACAGAGGATTGCACGCCAGTTAAGCCAATATCACGAGCGTCGCTAGCGAACTTGACATCGCGGCCGGCCACAAAAGCTCGTCCAGGCCTCTCACAATCAGGAAGCCGCGCGAAACCTGTACATCTGCCAAGCGAGTTGTCGGAGTCACTGAGTGACGAGCATTGTCGAAGGCAACTTCCAGTCCAATCTTGGGACCTAGTCGTCACAGTGACCAAACGGGTGGAACCGTGCATGGTGAAGCGAAAATAGCCCGAGGCCGGAAGTGGATGTGCGTGTGCTGCGAGAGGCTGCGACCGAGGCCCAGGCACCAGTGCTTGAACTGGCAGAAGACAGCCAGACAAGACCTGCGAGCAGCCAAAGCGTGGTTTCCATCAGTTGTTGACAATCCGCTGAGAGACTGGCACACAGGGATACCTGGGACAAGACGGTGGAAGGCGTGAAGCGGCGTTCCAGCTTGGAACGTGGTGCTCTCAGCACCAGACTGCGAGACATAAACTCGGACCGCACCCTGCAAGGGGAAAGCTGTCGGTTCCACGTGATCCGACTGGACTCTTCACTGTCTGTGCCGAGGTTGCCTCGCACTTCTTCAGAAAATCACGAAGCGTCTGGTCACTAAGCTCCTGTGCTGGACAAAGCGCTTGCTGTTGCTCAGCAGACTCCATTTAAGCGTCCTCCAAAGTCTCGTCTGCCTGCAGAGTGAAGCTCGAACGACTCTATGACTCTATGGCACCCCGATGCCAGACGTCTCGCCACAGCTCAATTCTTCGATAGATCATGATAGAGCAGTGATAGGAGTGTGCTGGCACATTAGAGGCTGCGGCTTGCCTCAGCCTGGGCCATCGCGTGCATGAGCTCTAGAAGCGCCAAGCGCTCGGGATGCGTGTCACGGCGCAGATGCTGGCGAAGCGGCGCCAAGAGATCCTGACACAGGGTGGCTTTATGCAGCTGTCTGTGACTGAATCGACAAGTGCAAGTGGACTCTCCTCGATGGTCTTGGGCACTGCTGCTGGCGCTGAACCTCGTGCTTGTGCTCGTTGCGAAGCAGCCTTAGACAAAGCGAAAGCAGAAGCAGGTGCACAACGCATGAAACACGCCATCGCCATGCCCAAGCTCGTGACGTGGTAGACTCTACCTTGGCTGCAATCGTACCCAGCCAGATGCCGGTGCGGCTCACACTGTCTTCGAACACAGGACTTGCGATACTGAGTCATTCTTTCCTCCACACAACCGACACTGGAGGAGTCGACTTCTGAAGTAGTGTCAGTGGCCATGTCCGGTTTGGTTGGCAGAAGTGTGCTGCAGCTGGGGATTTGCAGGCCAAGATGGTATGCTAGACAGAACCAAATACTTACGGAATGCCACGAGGGGATGAGAGACTTAGTCTAAGCCAAGATGCCGCTGTTCCGCCACGTATGGTCAAAGCAGGTCACATCCCAAGAAACGTGCGCGACCACGGTATCCTTGCCGGGTCGCACATGCTGGAAAGATCGCTCTCATGTAGCTGAGCACGCCTTCCTAGACTCCTGGGCCACTCCTGGGCTTCACACAGTAGCTGGAATTTGCCAGTTGCCGCCCAGAGCTCCTCTGCACCTCGGCTAACGAGCAGGAGTAGGAGATGCGGCAGAAGTCGCCGATCCACTCACCGACAGCGGGTGCAAGTGGGTGCCCGAACTGTCTGCGTGCATCGTCCACCCAGCGAGCCGCTGCCTTGACACAACCAGGAGAGTTTGGCCAGCTCTGGGCATGGAGAACTACGTGGCCACAGGCGGCATGGCTCCGTGCTTCGCGTCACAAGCTATGATGATAGTCCGAGGGCTGCACGGCTGACTCCGACCTTACCAAAATCTGATGCAACTAAGGCTTCTGACACACCGTGGCCAGCAGAGCAATCGCTGATTTTCTGCTCTCTGCAAATATCGCTTGTGGATACTTTCGATAGTACCATCAAAGACGGGAGGATGTCGCAGACGGGTCAGTTCGAAGTCGCTGAAGAAGGTGCTCGACAGTGTCCTCCGTCAGACGCGCTGTCAGGCTGCCAATGCTCGAGGTACCAAGTACTGGTCCGTCCGTATCTGGCAGCCGAGTCATGAGAAACGCATGCGCCACCTTGGCATCTCCTTGATTCAACAAGATGGCTGCCTGTAAACAAACGGCCAGCTTGTCTACGATATGCCTGGCATGCTGCTCCAGGGCCGACGGATCAGATGCCAGGTCTTGTTGCAATCCTTGGAGAACGCGCGCGTAGGAGTTTGGAGCGTGGCTCCTGGCAGCTTCTGCTGCACGTAGGGCGGACTGAAGCTCTCCGATCAAAGCTGTTGAGCTTTCGGGCTCACGACGCAGAGCCCGAAGAACATCTAAGCAAATAATGTTGCCTGAGCCTTCCCAGATAGCATTGAGAGGTGATTGACGGAAAAGACGTGCGATCGGCCCCTCCTCTACATAGCCGTTCCCACCGTGGCACTCCATTGCCTCATAAGCCACGAGGGGAGCCCTCTTGCAAACGAAATACTTAGCGACCGCCACTGCAATGCGGACAAAAGGTCCTTCCTTCTGGTCCAGGCCACGTGCAAGGCGCAACCAGGTTGCCAGGGCAGCTTCCGACTCAATGGCGAGATCTGCTAACACGCGGCGCATCAGGGGCTGGTCCAGCAGGCGACGCCCGAAAGCCTTCCGCTCGGAGGCATGGTGAAAAGCAAGCTGCGCGCTTAGCCTCATGAGTGCCGAGCTACCTATGACGCAATCCAGGCGTGTGTGCACAACCATCTCTACAATCGTTCGCACGCCACGCCCCTGAGCGCCAAGAAGCAAGCCCCATGCATTGCGATATTCGACCTCGCTGGAAGCATTGGACTTGTCACCGATCTTCTCCTTCAGTCGCTGAACAGTGAAACCTGCATTACGACTTCCGTCTGGCAGCCACCGAGGGACGATGAAGCATGAAACTCCATGTGTCGTTTGGGCCAGGGTCAAGAAGGCATCGCTCATGGGCGCAGAGGTAAACCACTTGTGTCCCAGCAGCCAAAATCCGTGCCCGGGGCTCTGCCGCGTTCCATTCACGGGCTGTGCCTCGGTCATATTCGCACGCACGTCGGAGCCACCCTGCTTTTCCGTCATTGACATTCCGACGGTGGCTCCGGGCTTGGACGGCAGAGGGGCATCCTTCCCGGAATACTTACATGAGATGAGTTTCTCGATCAGATTGGCGACATACCCGTCCGGGTCATGAGTTCTTTGCTGTTGAAGCAGAGCAGGGACAGCAGCAAATGACATCGTTAACGGGCAGCACACGCCCGGATCAAGCTGGTACATGAGATACATCAGAGCTGCACGGATAACGTGGGCACCCGATTTCCCGCAGTTCTCGGGCTGCCAAGCGAAAGCGGCGACTCCCGAGGTGATGCCGAGGTCCATGAGCAGGTGGTAGCTAGGATGAAACTCCGCTGCGTCCCTCCGGTTCCCGAAGCGATCGTGTGTTTCCAGCCGTGGTGGATGACGGTTGGCCTTCAAACTTTTCAACCCTCTGATGCAAGTTGGGCACTTCTACAGCCTACGGTCGACTACTTTCCTCCGCGGGGCTGCGAAGTTCCGCCAAATTCTCCTGCCTCGGAAGCTCTCGCTTGCCACAGTTCGCTCCCCACGGCTTCTCCGAGTTGCTGTAGGCGGGCCTCGCCCCATGCGCCCCCGTGTGCAAGAACTCCAGCTCTCAGGGCCGCGTCGCAGCTGAAGGCGTTGTAGTCGCAAAGCGGCCGCACCTGATTCAGAACCTGATGAGTGGGATGCCCTGGAACTGGAGCTCCTTTCATAGGCCCAGCAATGCTTCCACCATCGGCCTGGAAGGCTTGCATGGCTTGTTTCCTTGCGGGCTCGATGGAGTCGACAGACATGGCCCGGCGCGACTAGAACTGTTTTCTACGCTAGCCGCTAGCCGCTGCCGTTGCTTTTTTTCTCTCCGGTGTGGCCCCATGCCTCGCAGGCTTCGGTGAAGAAACACTTTGACAGGTTATATGGCAGAGCTGAACTTGAGCCCGGTTTGATTTGTTCGCTTTCGGCAACTCAGGACGGCCGATACAGTCCGAGCTTCGTGCTGATTTGTTCCGGGCATGGGCTCCTTCGCCATGAGCCTGCACGAAGCTGTCCAGGGGAGCTTCTATGGACTTTT